TTACTCTACATAAGAATATGAAAGCAACACTTATCTACTGCTCATATATATTGAAGGGTTAAATGTTGCACTCTGTTTAGACAAGCAGAGAGAGAGAGAGAGAGGAGCCGAACTGCCGGATGTAAACAAACCTTAATTTCCAGCAGCTTTGTTGTTGTTGGTTTTTTTAAGGGGATTAGCCCACCCGGGCATAGGTCACTGACCCACATTGGGGCCTGAGGGGCAAAAATTTAATACTCCTGTAATAAAAATAATAATTAATAATTCAGATAAGTAAAAAAAAAAAAGCTACCTATTGGACAAACTAAAATCATTCCGGACCACGGGAGTTTCCGGACCACAGAATGCCGGAATAGAGAGGTACAACCTGTATATATACAGTCATGCGCAGGTTAAAGTCCTAGATACGTTCTTGGAAACGTGATGTTAACCGAAATGGACGTTGTCCGAAATTACATAAACCTATCAGATTTATTCTAATGGGGGTTCCAGGCACCCAACCCCAAGTTTCCCATTTTACAACCATTTAGACCCACTAAATATATATATACTGTATAATGTTATGGTAAATATCATAAACACACATAGGCATGGCTAGGTTTATTACAAAGTGATGAAAAGGATAATGTAAAGTGGGTAGTCCACAAAACATGTAGCCATGTCTCTTTATTTGAGTGCCCCGTCAAAGAAGTCCGTTTTCTCTCACTTCAGGACACCTGAGTCGTCCGTTTTCTCTTAATCTTAGAGTGCAGTACACCAGACACCTATTTATTTCTTAATAATGACACAGAATTTGAAATTGCAACTGGGGTTGTAATTGTTGAGGCAACTTATATATGATTGATTACAATTGGAATATTCAAGATTCATTGTGAGTGATGTTTAATGCTTCAACTGTCTTTATGGTTGGTAAAACTTGTCAAGTCTGTCAGTCTGAGTGGCATGTGTGAGGCCTTGTGTTTGTACAACCGCTAAATATATAGATATATAATGCTATGGTAATTATCAGAAACACACATAGGCATGACTAGGTTTAATACAAAGTGATGAAAAATATACCATCAGTACTGTACAGTGGGTGGTCCACAAAACATGTAGCCATGTCTCTTTATTTGAGTGCCCCGTCATAGGAGTCCGTTTTCTCTCACTTCAGGACTCCTGAGTCGTCCGTTTTCTCTTAATCTTAGAGTGCAGTACACCAGATACTTCTTTATTTCGTAGTAATGACACAGAATTTGAAATTGCAACCCCAATTGCAACTGGAGTTGCAATTGTTGAGGCAACTAGATATGTCTGATTACAGCAAATGTGTTATTGTCAATTTGAGGTGAAAGATTTTATCCTCAATAGATGTAGGTTAACATTACACCTGGAGGCAAATGTTTAAAAAAAGCCTAATCAAGGAAGCACATTCCTTTAACACATAATATCTGACCAGTATGGGGAGGATCATCATGTCTCCGTCAGGGGGTCGTGGAGTGGTGGTCCAACAAGCCACTTTGGGGGCGGCCCGGACGACGATCGGGATTGTTCGGTCAGACCTATGTATGTGTGTATGTATATATATATATATATATATATATATATATATATATATATATATATATATATATATATATATATATATATATATATATATATATATATATATATATATATATATATATATATATATATATATATATATATATATATATATATATATATATATATATATATATATATATATATATATATATATATATATATATATATATATATATATATATATATTCAGCGTCACAAATACGCAAACATCTCAAAAACATAGCAGAGAAAACTGACATTTTGGTAGACTCCAGGTGATTCGATAAAAAATGTATGAAACTGTCTACCTGTGTAGGCTTTCTGTACACCTTAAATTTGTAGTTATGGCCATTTCTAATGATAAGCATATCAAGGAATGACCTGACCTCATGTTTCATAAGGTCACCTGTATATTTAAGCCTTTCTCTGTCCATGTAATCCAGTTGCCTCTGAAGATGTCTTGAATAAAGACGAAACCTAAGGTGCTACGTTGTTTCCCTTTTCCCCGTGTGATTTTATCAATATATATATATATCTACTCTTAAATCACTACTGTAATGTGATACAGGTGATTAATTTTTATCTCTTGTGCAAAATATATGACGTTTATATTCAAATTATTCGGTGTCTTGCAAGGATTCCAGCAATGCAAATTATATTCTGCTAACTTTAGTCTGTGATATTATATAAGATAAAAACTGAAAGCCTAAAACCATGGCTGGGCAGATGGGGGAGAGGGAGGGAGGGAGCGGGAGGCGAGGTAATATGTTTGACAGTTGGCGCTGAAGGTCTAATTGTGTTTATTTATCAGTCCTTAAGAGTGACTAAGCTTTTTCATTATAAAATGCCACTGAAATGACCAGGGAGAATATACTTTCCATTGCTGGAATTACTGTAAGATAGTGATTAATTTGAATATAAACAAGCTATAATTTGCACTAGGTATAAAAATTTTAGTATCATAATCATTTAGTACATACAGTACAGATTTGCACTTAGCTCATATATTTTTTTTTACATTTCTTTTAGTATGGTGTGTGCATGTAAATGAATAAAAATAAATGAAGAAATTTATGTAAATCTACCCAAAAATACAGTTGAAAAACTGTACATTACTAAAATGTACTAAACTAATGTACTAAAAATTTTATCTCTTGTGCAAAATATATGGCGTTTGTATTCAAATTATTCGCTGTCTTGCAAGGATTCCAGCAATGCAAATTATATTCTCCTAACTTTAGTCTGTGATATTATATAAGATAAAAACTTAAAGCCTACTGTATAACCACCAAATCCTGGCTGGGAGGGGGGAGGGGGGGGTGAGGGTGGGAGGAAGGCGAGGCAGGGCCGGATTCAGGAGTGGGCAAGGTGGGCAACTGACCAGGGGCCTCCACAATCTGGGGGCCTCCACATATTACACTATTTTATTTATTTGTTTATTCATTTGGATTATTTTTATTTTCATTCTTTAAAATTCATGTTTATCTATTCCATCACGTAAAACTATGTTCAGTAAGAAGCGTGATAGAAATTAGGCTAGCTACTTGGACAGAACCATTATTTGAGTAGAGGTTTATCTGATTAATAATGCAAAGAATCATCTCTCTGTAATAACTAATAATATATTCTATTCTGTGAAGTCCCTTGAAAATTTTTGACATGTGCGGAAGTAGCTATATCAAGGCTGGTCGACTTGAAACCACATGAATGACTCCAGTCATGTCTCACTTTTGTGTGTGTGTGTGTGTTGGGAATTTGTACACTATCAATAAATATACAGTTAATTAAAAATTTCTCAATGTTCTAATTTCCTCAATATAACTGCATATGGCTTCAAAATTCTCCAAAGAAGATGTTTAGGCTCGCTTCACTAGCCACCCCACCCTCTTGGGTTGTTATAATGAAGGGGGCCTCCACAAAGAAGCTGTCCATGGGCCTCCACAGGTCTAAATCCGGCACTGAGGGGAGGTGACAGTGACATGTTTGACAGTTGGTGCCGAAGGTTTGGTAAAGTATTTATTTGTTTATTTATTTGTCCTTTAGATTGAGTTTTTATTTTTTGCTTATAAAATGTCATAGAAGTGACCGGGGAGAATATAATTTACATTGCTGGAATTCTTATAAGATAGTGATTAATTTGAATGTAAACATGCTATAGTTTGCACTAGACAAAAATTTTTGTAATTATTTTGTACATTATTTTGATTACATGTACAGTACAGCTTTGCCCTTAGGACAGTGTGTGCATGTAAATAAGTTTCAATAATTGTATAAAGTTACAAAATCGAGCCAAAAATATTAGTTTAAAAACTTTATATAGACAGCGTGGATGGCAAAATTTTAGAATGACCAATAATTTTAATATAGAAAATGCAAAATATTCAAGAACACAACCTTCTTGATATTTACTCCACTGGAAACGAATGTAAACATAGAACGGATTACTGCATTGGCGGACTAGCCGATCAGCTGATGCTCACAACAAAAAATTTTTGTCGTAAGGATTTCGTTAATCGAACTTTTGTTTGCTAACCGAATTGAAGATCCTTATGAGAGCTAATTTGTTAACCGAAATTTCGTTAATCGAAACAGTTCGTTAACCGAGGGACCACTGTATAAAGATTAATTAAATCAAATACATATTCAGTAATAAACAATAATGAATCTTTTGTACATATTCTTAAGACAAATGACGCGGTATCCTTAAATGTGCACATATATGTTGGCGTTCCCAATCCATCTCTTTTTTTTTCCTTTGTCATTAGTGGTTAGCTACTTCTATTATTCCATCTATTAACATTAAATAACGTTACTTAAAACAAATATATTTAATTTTTACATTAATTTTGCTACAGCTACAACCAGGGGCTTATTTTCTTCATTTTCTCGTGGAGAACTATCGTCCCGGACTCCCGGCTGTAAACACAAACGAAAACAATGGCGTCCCATCTCCTCTTATGTGACCATATTATTATTCATTTCTATTGTATAAGGTGCATTCAGAAACATTATTTAAAGAATATAGTTTGCAGTTTTCATTAATTGTATTGTTTTAGGGGGAAAAGAGGGTAAAAAGCCACACAAAAGATATGAAAAGGTCACACTTGAGAAAGCATCTCATTATTATTGCTTTAATTTAATGGTAATTAAGGATTCGCGATAAGACAATTCACCTTACACTGCAATATTGGAGGACACATTAACGTCGTCATTCAGAGCTTTACTGTACCATATACAGTACTGTACACCACTATCCCCAAAATTTACCCTAATCTTGTACACATTATGCTTCAGTTTATCTTCTTGTAAGATTTGGCTGTACATGCTATCTCTACTTTGAATATGATTTCTACTTGGATAATAAGGTATTTTTAAGCTACTCCCAAACATTACACTATTTAAACAATTAATCAACTATGAATTTGATATCTCACCTCATCACCATATTCTGGTGCTGTTGGACACATTTTTTCGAGAGCAGTGAACTGGTCGAGGGTTATTTTCTTGATGAAGAAGTGTAGCAGCAAATTCTTGTTGTGTTCCACCTGCAACAATTCACATAATTACAGTAAATTATATTGAATGAGATAAAGAATGCTTAATTGCCCATTACATTTGTGTGACCAACTTGACTCCTTCCAGAACATACCATATAAAATGCCATATAAGATACATTTTCCTCAAAACTCACCATGTATCTTATGTGCCAAAGGTTAACCCCAAAAAATGAGGACGCTGACTGAAACCAAAATACAGTAAAACCTCGCTAAGGCAGACCCCGCTTAAGCCGGACAAAATTATTTGACAAAAAATAAAAAAATTAAAAAATTAAAATAATTAAAAAATTATAAAATATAAATAAAAAAGTGGGACATAATTTGTCGTAAGACGACATGCCCGCCATAAGCCAAAATTTCAAGGGAGCAAGGCAGACACACCTTGTGACCCACCGACGCTGGTAAACAAAGGGACACGCATCACGCACTCAGTCATAAATTAGCATCACCCACGATAACATCACTTCTGCTCTCTCGCTCCGTTGATTGTGTTTTAGTGCTGAACTTTATTTTGAAACTTATTTGACATTGCCAATAATGTGATTATGTTGTAGACTGAAGTAGCAAATATATCTTTGCATTATTATTGAAAAATTAGACAATAACCATGGCCCCTAAGAAAGTGTTAGGTGTCTGTAAGATTGTACCATCGTACGATATGTTTTCCCATGTTGAGGTGGGGGGCTTGTCTAAGGCAGCGCCCGGTTGCCAGTCACCAGCTGACGCTGATAGAATAAAGTCTACAAAGAACATGGTCTATGATTCAAACCTCTCACATGGCGCAGTGAGCAGGATCCCGGGGCCCGATACGCCATTACAGCCCTGACAAGAACGCTGACATGGCCCATACACTTCCACGATTCTGGACGCCCTCAAGGGGACGCCAGGGCATCTCTACACCGGCGGGGAACACCACGCGCGCCCAGCAGCAGGCCATGAGTGCATTGATGGCTCAGATGGCGTCTCTAGCTGCTGGCGGTGGTCATGCTTCTATGCCGGTCATGAAGCCCTCAGCAGCTGTCGCTCCAGAGAAGTGTGAGGCAGAAATGCCAGCAGCTGTGTTTAGGACATGGAGGCGGTCCATGGAGTCATGGGTGCTGTTGAACGGGTTGTCACAACTGGAGGCCACACTCCACATTCGCCTGAACTGCGTCCCTGCACTCCAAAGGGTGATTGACTCGAAATACCCCAGCGGTCAGTGGGAGTAGCTCTCGCCCAAGGAAGCCCTGGACGCCATCAGTGGAATGGTTCTTCAATCTTCAAACCAAGCTGTGAAATGGAACGAGTTTTTCAACAGCAAACAAGGTGAAGAGGAGCCCATGGAAAGGTATTTTCAACGCTGCTTCGCAGAGGCAGTGGAGTGTGAATTTAAATGTCCCACCTGTGATAACGATCTCTCTGAGTACTTGCTACTATGTAAAGTTATGGTGGGCCTGAGTAACCCAGTGTTGAGAAGGGAAATTTTCCAGGGGTACTCTAGTTACAATAGTGTTGAAGTGCTTAGAAACAAATGTATGTTATTTGAGGCAGCAGTGAGAGATGCTGGTGTATCGTGTCGTACGTCTGGCCAGGCAGTGGTGGGAACAGCCGCGGAGGCAGTGGCGGTTGGTGATGACGTCACCGGTGAGTCTGAGGTAGCTGGCGCCAGACCTGGACACCCCAGTCGCGCACACTGTGGTAACTGCGGCATGTCACATGCCTCTGATAAAAGTAACTGCCCTGCAAGTGGGGCCACATGTTGCAATTGCTATAAGGTTGGTCACTTCAAAAGGTGTTGTAGGAGTAAGTCAGTTCTAAGTGCTCCTGTGGATGTGTCAGGTGCTGTCACAGTGGCAACAGCCCAGCTATCCCGCCACCCCAGGTTACAAGTGTTCGTGACCCAGGCTGGGGGCAATTCCTCCGCCACCCCTGTGCTGGCTGTGGCTGACACAGGTGCTATGGTGTGTGGAGCAGGGGCATCCCTGCTCCGGGACATTGGTTTGTGTCCGGGGCAACTTCGGGCCCGTAATGGCCTGAGTGACGTGGCAAACAAACAGCTCAAGTGTCTGGGGTCCACCCCCTGCCGCCTCAGTGTGGACGAGGGGTCCACCGTTCAGGAGGTCTACTTCGTGCAGACAGCCAAGGCCCTCTACCTGTCATTGGAGGCTTGCAAGTGCCTCAGCTTGGTGCCTGTCGACTTCCCGCCCCATAGACATGCTGTGGCTGCCGTGGGCGATGGAGGGGAGCGGCACACTGCCGACGACCTACCTCCGAACCCTTTACCTGAGAGCATTCCTTTCCCGCCGAGGCCAGTAGAGATACCCTTGCCTCCTTTGGAGGAGAATGTGGCCAGGTTGGAGGCATGGCTGCTCACGCACTTTTCATCTACCGCATTCAACACCAGCAGGTCCCCACTGCCAGTCATGACTGGTCCCCCTCACCGTATCCACCTGACACCCGGCACGACCCCCTACGCCTGTCACACACCTGCTCCCGTTCCGAAACACTGGGCAGCGGAGGTGAAGGCCCAGTTGGAGGAGGACGTCAGGAGAGGCGTCATCCAGCCAGTGCCTGCTGGTGAGGCTACGGAGTGGTGCGCCAGGATGGTCGTGGTGGCCAAGAAAAACAGTCAGCCCAGGCGCACTGTAGACTTCCAATGCCTCAATGCAAGCTGTCTGAGGGAGACGCACCACACACCTGCACCATTCGACATGGTGTCTGGGGTGCCAGCGCAATCGTTCAAAACCGTCGCCGACGCCTTTTGGGGATTTCATCAGGTGGAGTTGGAGGAGGAGAGTAGACGCCTGACCACATTCATCACGCCGTGGGGACGTTTTCGATACTGCAGGACGCCCATGGGACATTCTTCAGCGTCAGATGCCTACACCAAGAGGTTTGACGACGCTATTCAGGATGTGCCCCGCAAGTACAAGTGCGTAGATTACACTCTCTTGTATGACTCCAGTGTGAAGGGGGCGTTGTGGCACACCAACGATTTTCTGGAGACCTGCGCTCACACGGGTATCACACTGAAACCAGAAAAGTTCTTGTTCTGCAGGAGAGAAGCCGAGTGTGTGGGTTTCCTCCTGGGATGGGACCTCTACCAGCCCACTGCCCAACGTCTGTCAGCCATCAAGGACTTCCCCATGCCTGATCAGCCATCAATAACTGACATCAGGTCCTGGCATGGCCTGGTTAACCAGTTGACTCCCTTCCTTGCCACTGCACCGGTGATGGAGCCCTTCCGTGAGCTCCTCAAGAAGCCAGTGGGCAAGCGGGTGTATTGGGACGACCAGCTGCGGCTCAAGTTTCGCCAAGCCCACGACACCATCTGTCAGTTGGCCAGGGACGCCTTGATGTACTACGATAAATCCAGGCCTATGGCAGCTGTCACGGATTGGAGCAGGGAGGGCATTGGATTCGTCGTCCTGCAACAATACTGTGACTGTGCCTCTCCAGAGATGCCCTTCTGCTGCAGGGGAGGGTGGCGGTTAGCTCTGTGCGGTAGCCGACATCTGAGCACGGCCGAGGTCGGCTATGCTGCAGTGGAAGGGGAGGCCCTGGCTGTGGCATGGTGCCTGCGCAAGGCCAGGCTGTTCCTCCTTGGCTGCCCGAACCTCATTCTGGTGACGGACCACCGCCCCTTGGTTGGCTTGCTAGGGGACAGAGCCCTCACGGATGTGGCGAATCCACGCCTGTTCAAGCTCAAGGAGAAGACCCTGCAGTACCGGTTCACGGTCAAGTACTTGCCAGGGAAGCGGAACTGTGCAGCTGACGCCCTATCCCGCTTCCCCTCCCTCAGGGCGGTGCCCGACGTGGAGGACCTGTGCGCTGCAGTGTGTGCAGTCACAATTGCAGCACTGGATCAGGATGAATGCATCACTATGGACGAAGACACAGTGTGCAAAGAGGCTGCGGACGACCCAGTATACCAGATTCTAGTGTCGAGGGTGCTGGCGGGCGACTGGCACCCCCACAAGTCACAAGAGGTGGCATGTCTGTGCCCGTACTTCTCGGTGAGGGACAGGTTGGCTGTGGTCAGGGGTTTGGTCACCTACACCTTTGACCAGGGCTGCATGCGCCTTGTCATCCCCGACTCCCTCCGCCACCGGGTCGCCGTTAACCTGCACGTGGGGCACCAGGGCCTCGACTCTATGCCCAGGCGGGCCCGGCAGTATGTCTATTGCCTGGCATGGAGGGTGACCTGCAGTATCATCGGTCCCGGTGTGCTGCTTGCAAGACCCACGCCCCTTCCCAGCCTCCGGAGTCGTTGGTTCTGACCCCAGCGCCAGACTATCCCTTTCAACAAGTGGTGGCCGATTTGTTCCACCTGCAGGGCCACACGTACCTAGCATATGCTGACCGACTCACAGGTTGGCTGGAGATCGCCCACTTCCCCAACGAGGCCACCTCTGGAAAAATCATCGCCCGTCTGCGGGCCTACTTCACGAGGTGGGGGGCACCTGAGCAGATCTCCACGGATGGAGGCACCAACCTTGCCAGCCTTGAGATGACAGATTTCCTCAAGTCATGGTGAATCGAGGTGTGCCTCTCGTCGGCCCACTTCCCCCAGTCCAATGGCAGGGCAGAGGCTGGGGTCAATGCCGCCAAGAGGCTCCTCAGGGATAACACTGGGCCAGGGGGAAGCCTGGACTGCGATAGGACATCCCAGGCCCTCCTCCAGTACCTGAACACGCCAATGCGGGGGGTGAACAAGTCGCCCACCCAACTCGCCACCTGCCACCAGCTCCGTGACGGCGCTCCTGTGGCCAGTCAGCACTATAAGGTGGACCAGCACTGGCGGCGGGCACTTCGTATGAGGGAGGTGAGCTTGGCTGAAACCCAGGACGGGGTCCTTCTGTCGCGGGGGGAGGTGTCCCGCCAGGTGGCTCCCCTAGCCGTGGGCACGCAGGTGCATGTGCAGGACGCAGCTACCAAGCTCTGGGACAGGACAGGCATAGTGGTGGAAGCCCGCCCTCACAGGCAGTATGCCGTCAGGTTGATTGGCAGTGGCAGGGTGTCCATCCGCAACAGACGCCACCTGCAAAACGGCTCCACACCTGTGCCTACTACTCCGGTGGTGAACCAAGCTGAGCCTCCTAGCCCCCCTTCTGCTGTGCCCTCCGTACCCGTGCCCTCGCTCGCACCCCTGGCCCCTCCCCAGTCAAGTGCGGCCAGGCCCAGGAGAGGCCGTAAGCCCCCGGGCTGGTTGACGGACTACGTGGTGTAGTGTACGTGATGTAAAATTAGTTTAGAGTTTTGTTTTGTTTCTCTTTGTTTGACTGGTTTTTCTTACATTATTGTTGTTTTTATGTGCATTGTTTTCCTTTGTTAGTTCAAATGTGCATTGTCATTTCCTTTTAACTTGGGGGGGGGAGATGTAAGATTGTACCATCGTACGATATGTTTTCCCATGTTGAGGTAGGGGGCTTGTCTATGGCAGCGCCTGGTTGCCAGTCACCAGCTGACGCTGATAGAATAAAGTCTACAAAGAACCTTGGTCTATGATTCAAACCTCTCACAGTGTCCGTAAAGGTGGTGAAAGGGTTAAGCCTAAAACCTTATCAGTGAACAAAAAGTTAAGGGGAGTGTTTGGTTTAGAACATTTATTTTTTTATTTTTTTGGCCAATCACTTTCATTTTCATGTCATTATTAAAGGATTTACATAAGCATGAATTTAAGCCCCTTAAACCCCACCCCCTTTTATTTTCTTACTCCCCACACAAATTTTTCTTATTTTTTTTTTACGTTAATACAGTTGACCCTCGTTAATTCGGACCCCTTTAATCCGGATTTCGGATAATTCGGACAAAATTTGAACTTTTTTTTTTGTAGATTTGTAGGAATATTACCTACGCGGACCTTAACCTAAAATGCTGGTCCACCCACTGCTGGGATAAAACACCAGCATCTTTTTGGTTAAATGTAACATCACCACTAGTGTAGGGGGGGATGCAACTTTTAGCTTCAGACATGAAAAATATTTACCATTTACTGCCGGTAAACAATGGTAACGTAAAATATGTACCAATTAGTAATGAAAAGTTGTGCAGTTCCTTCAGCAAATGAAGCTCACCAACTTACAATAGGCTAAATTACCTTACAATGTGTTTTCAGTAGTCTATGTTGAAGTTCTTAGCACAGGCTATATACGGTATCACAGTTCTCATTGATCTACAAAAAATACCGGTAATAAAAACCTTTTTGATATTTCACACTTAATATAATACCCGGTAATCTACTTCAACCTCCTATTGTTTACAAAGACGCATGACGCACCACCAGCTGAGTATCAGCTAGACGGTACACGTGTTTTTCGAATCGTTTTCAGTTAAAAAACTGTTACATCACGGAGTAATCGACAGAAACCGCGCAATTCAACTGCTCACGTGATGTAATCAGAGAGCGCTGGTGTAAACTGTTATTAGTCTTCACTGCGAAACATTCTTTTTACTTATTCTTTTCATACAATATTCATGGGTAACAGCTAAATTTGCAAAAAACAAAAATTTTTTACAAAGTACCTCTCAAAAAACACTTCACAAACAAGACACAAATCAATTGAACATGTGATGTCGAACGTGAACAGTAAACATTGCATAACCCCGCGCCACGCTTAAAATGTTGAGGATGTAATCAAAACATTGAGGATGGAATCGCGCTATAGCCAACATTCGTATGCAAATGTTCGCATTTTATAAACAGCGTTCCCCGATTCATCAATAGCATTACAACCAATTCGCGTTGACAAAACACACGTTGTAGCAGAAATAACTGTAACTGGTATGAGGGCTGTGACATCATTCAAGACGGTGGCCAGTATTCAGCTGGCTGGACCTCGCAAAACTCTCGATATTTTATGCCAAATATAAGACTTGGTTACATAAGGTAGTGCTTGCAAAATTCAAAAACGCGAAATGAAATCCCGCGAAATATGAGATCTTACTGTACTGTACTTGTATCTGATAGTTAGCCACACTCCCACTTTTACCTTATTTTTTAGGAAATATCTACAACTTATTATCATCAAAATATGGTAGTGACTGTGTGGAAGCCATTCCCAAATATACACAGAAAGTTTGACAGAACAGCTGCATATTCTTTTTTTTTCTTTTCTTTTTATGGGGATTACCCCACCTAGGCAGGGGGGGGGGGATTTGAACCAAAATTGAATACAGAAATGGAAAAAATTTAACAAACAATGATTGAGAAATGATATATTGTATATTGAGACCCTGCAAGTGTATGTAAATAAAGCAGAAAAGTCAGATCAGCAGCCTGGGACTTCGCAATTTTCGTAATGCCATATGGCAGCAGGGTCTACCATTGGACAACGCATTGTACTTCCAATACCTTCCCAAGCAGTAGTACCTCCGTTTTTTATAGCTGAATACTACCTACATCTAAGACAGATAGAGTTTCATCCTTGCCAAAATTATTAGAAATAGTACTGTACAGGCTTAACCCTTAAGCCCCGGGTTAGGGTGCTGCTGGCAGTAACCCCCCCCCCCCAAAAGTGCCGGGAATAGGTGGACGTTTTGGAACGTCACCCGGGGCCTAAACGTTAAGAAAAACTTATGCCTTCTCATTTTTAAGAGGCCTTTCATGAAATAAGAATGCAGTTATTTTCCAATGACAAATTTCTTAAAAGTTATTAATTAACATCCATAAAGGTGACCCAGTACAATATTACTGCTGAATCTATGGGTCGCTGGATCAGTCGCATGGCTGTGATGTATTGTTCTATTTCTTCTTTCTTTTCTTTTCTAATTTATTTTCATTATCTTCCCATGGTATACCAGAACACTATACAGTAGAACCTTGATAAATCGGACTAATTGGGGCAGACCCCAGTGCAAAAGTCCAAAAAGTGAATATATGGAGCTTTTTTTCAAGTATTTTCAATGACCAGAGCATCTCAGAGCCTGAAAAAAGTGAATTCCAATATATTGAAGTCCAATTTATCGAGGTTTTACTGTTGCTTGTTTTTCGTGAGTAAATGGACATTTTCAGTAGTGTTTGGTGAATTTTTTGGGCCTCCAATCCCAAACTTCATGTTTTATATTAAATTACAGGTATGCTGTACAGTATTTTCAGATAGCGATTTTGTTTGACTTTCACATACGTTCTCACTCCCTTTCTCACAAAATAACCCGAGGCTACTGTTATCTATTATAACAACTAATTACATACATTATAATGAACAGACCATAAAACTACTTACAGTATTACAATGTCAAAACTGAAGTTTATTTTTCATAATCAGAAATGCAATACAACCTCTTGTCCCTCCCTACCTGAGTATTGTAGTAATCTGACCACGTAACAGGATGCTCAGTTGGTGACCAGCCAATCTCTTCAGCCATTTCCCGGTTTAGACCATCTACTATATCCTCTCCTGAGTTTATGAGACCACCAGGAAAACCGAAGGTGCCATCAAAGCGTAGATGCATCTATAATAAGGAATGGTTACATGAAGAGCAATTAAAACTTCCTACACAAGACTGCATATAAAATCAGAGTTGTAAAGTAACTAAATAAATTTACTTGAGTACTGTATTCAAGTAACATTTTTGGGTATCTAATTTTTAAAAAGTACTAAAATTTTTTAGTACTTTTACCTTTACTTAAGTATGGTTTTCTATTACCTTTACTCCAATACAATTGAAAAAAAAATCGCTACACGTTACATGCCCTAAACAAACAAACAAACAAAGAGTTTTAATGTCTGTGGCAAACTAATAATATATTTTTTAATTCATTAATTAATTAGTTAATAACCAGAGTAAAAGAGTTGTGTGGGTGGAGCCGTGAAGGGTACGGTGTGGAGGTCTTGTGAAGTGAGGTGAAGTCAGGTCAGGTGGCAGTGGCCATGACAGCGGACTTTCCCTTTGAGCTTCTTGTGTACATTAGCACCTTGACCACCCACTTCACCTAGTCTACCCTCTTATCCCCCCTCCCCCACTGAATCCCCTCTCTTCTCCCCACCTTTCCTTCAGGGACTTGGTCTTCCCGTTAACGTCAGTTGCTCTTTGCATATACCTGTACCTAAAATGAATTTAAAAGAGGCTGTGATTCTAAAATGCTTTACATAATTCCATCTTAGATATAAAGCAGGTATCTACAGTGGGGTATGCTATAACGAATCTAATTGGTTCTAGAACGTCGTTCGTTATAGCATTCGTTCGTTATAGGATTAATCCGTTCCAGGCCCCCAAATACAACCACTTAACACTGAAAAATTTCTGTGGAAATTGTAAAAAATACGGTACTTTATCTTACCTTAGTGTTGTTAGCATGCAGGACAGGAGGCAGAGGAGGAGGGTGGAGGAGAGCATTATGGAGAAGAGGAGTCATCCTTCCTAGCCCTCTTTGGTGACTGTCTTACAGGCACTTTGTCTGTTTATTTATAATTTCTTTCTTAGTTTCAAGGGTTCTTAGCTTTCTCACTCGCTTTTGACGATTCATTGTTACAATTGTACACTTGTATAACAAAATAGTTATAAAAATAACACGAATTTCCACATCAAAAGACAAAATTTCAACAAGTTCAGTGGTGCACTGACTACACAATGAACCAATATGGCACCTGACGCTCTTGCTGTGAGCCGCGGTACAACAATATTCATGAGCCAGACGAAATAGTCCCGTATTCATCCGCGTTCATTGTAGGAGTTACGGTCGTTATAGCAGTCTCAATTTTATAGGTAAAACCGTTCGTTATAGGAATATTCGTAGTAGAATCCGTTCGTTATAGGAATATTCGTAGTAGAATCCGTTCGTTATAGCATACCCCACTGTATACAAATGTGTGAGAATGGGTGTAATTCTGCACAAATAACTAAGTAACACTTACCCTCCCCCCCAGCAACACCTGCCAGATGTTACGTGGTGCGAAAAATTCAGCCACTCATGTATTAGAATCGAAGAGTGACATCACCACAGCCACGCCCCAATTAGAGGGGCAGTTCACAGTGAGTCTTAATTAGACTCAGTTATTATAGAGGCAACAATCATCCACAAACTCCTCAACTGAAGGAGCGTGATAGCTACTTGGCATGCCCAGGGATGGAATGGAGCTACCAAGGTCTTTCCCGACATTATGTGAGTTATCTGCTGCTTGTGTGCATCTGTTTCGTCGTGCTGGGCTTATTATTTATTATTTAATTAATTTAATACACCCCAGGGGACAATAAGCCTAGTCACAAGACCATGCAGTCAGACACTAATACATTGGTACTCATGTCTCGCAGGATACGCAATGACTTGTGATATGGAGACAGTATTGATATGATTTAAGGACAATTGGAGTTAGCACCCACCAAAATCAGGGTGCGTCTTCCACGATGCAGCGTCTTCCAAGCCGAAAAATACGGTATGTGATTAAACAACATAGCATACAAATTTCTAAGTTTAAGTTTGATATACAGTTACAGTAATATTTTTTATAAATACCATTGGCGAGAAAGCTGCCTCACAGACATACAGGAGCTTCCAAATTGTATCAGAACCTTGATAGCTCTATTTTTAACCACTGAATGTCAATTTGATAAATAACCCAAAATACTGACAAGTCATCATAGACGGCAAAATTCACCCTTACCTCGTTGTCAGCCTGTAATTCTGCTATTTCGAGGACAAAAGAGCCACACTGTTTTACATCTGTCTTGAACAGAAACAGAACAAAATCAAAAGGCTCAGTAAGCAACTCAGGGAATCCATCATTGAAATTTACTGCCATTTTTATCTGCATCCATGGGAAGTACAGAGTGAATTGAGCTGAGAACAGTTCATAGGTAGGTGTGGATTTTCTGTTGCGTAACGTGTCATCGGCGTTCACCGTCCTGGACTAATCTGACTTGACACAAGGAGAGTAACTGCATTATTCCCTTAACCATAATTTATAGTCCCGACTTAACGAGACAGCACCTATCAGCCACATCCTTCAGTACTTGACACCTGGACTATGAGCTCTATGGGACCCCATCAACTCCATGACCTCTGTGCAACCCCTTATGATGGACCACTCTATTAAACATTGGTCCACATATTATATCCAACTTCTCTTAACACTTTGACCACAACAAAACTAACTCCACCAAACATGCTCTCTTCTTTACTCACTAAGATTAAGGGATACTCCAAGCTGTATGAGCATATAATATACAGTACAGTAAGTCGTGTGGATATAAATTAAAGGTTAATATTATGAACTCCAAGGTAGGAGACATTCAGGAAAACCTGAAGATTAAACCCACTCTTATTTTACTTAAAGATTACCCACCCAAATGTTGACCTAAGCATGCACCCCATGTAGAGTTAAAGTATACAGTACAGTAGTACTCCGCTTAACGCGGTCAATTGAACCCACAGGGTACCGCGTTAAGTGAAAACCGCGTTAAGTGAACAACAGAACATATGGGATTAATTCCAATAGAGACTGGCCCGACCCCCAAACTCCACTTTTTGACGACACACAACTATGTTGTAGTAAAAATTTTATCTTAACTTTATGATGGTATGCACACACAATTAATAATTAAGAGAAATATCAATAATATTAGGTTTTTTAACACTTGCATTAGTAGAAAAGATGGCTGGGCACACGGGGATGGGGGGTTGGTTCCGAGGCAGAGGGCAGATTATTGGCCCTCACCTGTATCACTTGTATCAATTGTATCACTATCCACCACAGAGGCTTGCAGGGCCTCTTTGTCAAACCCCTCAAAGGCCATATAAGTCCATATCCTCACTATAATTATCACTATCACTGACTTGGGCCGGCTGTGGTGGGTGGCGGGTGAAGAACTCGGTAATGTTTTGATGACTGGGCGACCTTGTGCGCATCGTGCCCGCGCCGCTTCCCGCGTATATGATGAAAAATTCCGAGTTAAGTGAAAGTTCAGCTCTGGCGAGGCACCGCGTATATGATAAAACGCATTAAGTGAAACCGCGTTAGGCGGGGTAATACTGTACTGTAATAAACTGGGGAGCTAATCTTCATATGATTCAATACTGAAATTATCATAACTTTAGATTAGGATCACACACATCACAGTATAGGAGCAGCTTTTGTGTAAACTCATACAATCACCAAGTCTCAGTCACCTTCAAGCTTCATTAAAGCCAAGTGAAAACTGTTGTAACAGTACAGTACAGGTAGACCCACATTTACAAAAGGGATATGTTCCTGAAAACCTCTTGTAAATCAACTCACATATTCCCATTAACTCCCATTATATAATTGGATATACTGTAAATTCTCAATGAGAAAGCATCGCTGTCCCACCTATGACCCCTATGTTTAGCTGGCATGAATATTGTGATCATAGATGCTAGAGCTATGACTGACGCTTTAAGGAATCTTGGTTTCTGCAAGGTGTGCTCTGTATTCTTTGTTTAATTATCAATTTTATTTTGCTTTCTTCATCTGATTGATTTTCTTTGTTTATTAAACTTTTAAAAACATATTTAGTGAAACATGGTTATGAATTACGAGTACAGTACTGTACTGTTACACAAAGCCATTACATGTAAGAGATAAAATGTCTGTCTTCATACATATCTTTCATGCTAGACATGAGCTTTACAAACATCTCATAAGTTGATTTAATCACCAAAAACATCGTGAATACACGTAAGTTATCACACACTCACCATGACTGCTGCTCGTAACTCGCCAAAGTTGGAACTGCCTTCCTGTGGTGCCCAGATACAGGCATGAGCTGCTTGACGGTAACGATGATATTCCTTTGCATCGGCAAAAGACATAATTGTTTTGGTTACTGTACGAGTCTGCAGACATTTTGGAATCTGGAAGAAATTACTCTTCAGTATTACACTTGTTACAAATAAAAAGATACATTTTTATTTATTTGAGTTATCAGTATCTTTCGGCTATACAGTACTGTATATGGAAGCTGGGCTGTATGGCTCTTCCAAACATTAGCATCACTGGATACCTGTGTCTTCAGGATGGGATGGCAGATTACCTCAGGGGGTAATTTGAGACACAGACACACAAAACACACAAATAAATAATAATGGGAAAATCCTCATTACAAATCATAAAATCAAGACATCAAAATGTATTAAAAATGTTAGGGTCTACCCTCAAGTCAACTCTGTGGTTTGTTATAACTTTAATAACAAAGCACAAAGTTGACTAGAAAGTACTCACATTTTTAATACATTTTTGTTGTCTTATTTCTGATTATTTGTGAGAGGATTTTCCCATTATTATTTATTTGTAACACACAAAAAAAAAAAAAAAATGCAGGTAAAATATATAATTGTCCTAAGGGCAAACACATAAAGGAAATATAAATTTCTTTGCACATGAGTAATAATGTACCCTCCTCCCCCCTCCCCTGGTCAGCAAATGTTATTCACAGATTTGACTATTACAGGTTGACAACCCTTTATCCGAAATTCCAAAAACCGAAAAGCCCTGAAAACCGAAAGGTTTTTTTGTGGACCAATATATTATTATTATTATTTTTTTTTTTACGGGTATTAGCCCACCTGGGCACAGGTCACTGACCCACATCGGGGCCTGGGGGGGTGAAAATGTAATAGTAATAATAATTATTATTATTATAATAATAATAATAATAATAATAATAATAATTATTATTATTATTATAATAATAATAATAATAATAATAATAATAATAATAATAATAATAATAATTATTATTATTATTATTATAATTATTCATAGTAAATAAAAATTTTAATAAAAAATACACAAAAATAAAATAAGAATGATAACAATAATAATAACAATAATAAAATAATAATAATAAAATTAATAATAATAATAACAATAATACTGTAATAATAAAATAATAATAATAATAATAATAATAAAGAAATACAGGAATGAAAAAAAGTTAAAAAGTAAGAAACATGACCTAGTCCTATAAATTATTATTATTATTATAGTAGTTTTGCTGAAACATGATGTATTTCAATGTAAAATAGGATAAAATACATGACGAAAACAAAAGACTTTACCTAACCTTCCGATGTTCAAGAGATGTTACTCGCTTTTTAATAGTTTTCGGTTAAAATACTGTTATATTACAATGATATTCTATTCATACTGTGCTTGATATACTACATTCACGGAAATGTAATATTTTTGCTGAAATGACATACGTATTACAGTGGAAAGTGGGATAAAATCATGACGAAAACAATGACTTTCGCTTTCTTTCATTCAAAAGATGTTACCGTAATCGCTTTTCGAATGGTTTTCAGTTAAAAAAACTGTTGCATCACAAGTGAATTAGGATAGAATATTATTGTATACAACAGTTTTTTAACTGAAAACCATTCGAAAAGCGATTACGGTAACATCTTTTGAATGAAAGAAAGCGAAAGTCATTGCTTTCGTCACTTTCCACTGTAATACGTACGTCGTTTCAGCAAAAATATTACATTTCCATATTCTCATAAATAAATACTAGTTTTGCTGAAATGTAATGTATTTCAATGTAAATTAGGATAAACTACATGAAAACAAAAGACTTTACCTAACCTTCCGATGTTCAAGATATGTTACTCGTTTTTTAAATAGTTTTTGGTTAAAATACTGTTATATTATTGATATTCTATTCATACTGTGCTCGATATAATACATTCACGGAAATGTAATATTTTTGCAACTACAATGCTGATGTCAACACAAGCGTGGTTACAGCGAGACTGACTGAGTGAGGGAGAGCTATGCGCATGTGTGTGAGGTTGCGGGAGCGGGCGGTGCCCCGTGTTCGGTGCCGTGCGTGCGTGAGTTGAATGGCGCGCGATTTGAATGTACTTCAATTACTTCAATGTACAGAATATTCCTCCGGCGGGGCAATCCGCGTATTTGCAAATCCGTGTATGCTAAACCTGCGTATGTTAAGGGCCGACTGTACATGCAAATGGTACAGGTTGGGGGAACCATCATATACCGCAGAGGGTAGGAACAGTGCTCTCACTTAAATCAAGCACACGGTCAACCTCCGACACACGCTCTCCCCAGTGCCGGATTTAGACCTGTGGAGGCCCATGGGCAGCCTCTTTGTGGAGGCCCCCCTCATTATAACTACCCAAGAGGGTGGGGTGGCGAGTGAAGCGAGCCTAAACACTTGGGAGTTCCGGGGGGTGCTGTAAGCCCCCCGGGAAATTTTTGAAATTTGAACACTTCTTTGGAGAATTTTGAAGCCATATGGAGTTATATTAAAAATATTAAAAATATACAGTTCATAGGAAAACCAGGTATTCATGAATTTCAAGGAGTAGCTAGCCCAATTTCTATCACGATTCTTGCTGAACATAGTTTTACGTGATGGAATAGATAAACATGAATTTTAAAGAATGAAAATAAAAATAATCTAAATGAATAAACAAATAAATAAAATATTGTAATATGTGGAGGCCCCCAGATTGTGGAGGCCCCTGGGCAGCTGCCCACCTTGCCCACTCCAGAATACGGCCCTGGCTCTCCCCTCTGAAGGCGGGTGATCACATTTAATTTCACATCCATTGCGATTATTTTTCAAGCCTTTTTTAGCTTTCAGTGCCCCAGAGGAGGCAGATGGACGTTTTCCAGACATGCTCACTCAGGTAAACAGCGTTTAACACTTAAAAGGTACGTGATAAACACACAATGCAAATGAGAGCACAGAGAAAAAGTAGTGCTGGTGTGAACTGAGAAAGCAATAAGTGGGAAGCTTGCTGGATGTCGTCACAGTTGTTGTACAGAATACTTCATTATCATCGTTATCTTCATCATTATTAGTAGTAATCTTTATTGAACAGTCCCGTTAGTCCAAAAACTCTTAAATCAAACACGCGTAAAACACGAGTTACCTGTACATAAATAACACTGCTAATTATTTTGCTCCCATAATGTTGATATTACACTTATGCCAGGAATAGATTATATATTCTTCCAAGTCATAAGTTTGTAACAGGAAAACCTAATATTTAGTATGTATGTACACATGTTTCATTCACAGTGGTACATGTCAGACGTGCATTTGTGTGTGTTGATGGTGCAATGGTGGTACAGTACAGGCCATGTGAGGTAAGCAGCAGACGATGTATTGCCGCTACTGCAATCCGGTTAACTTCACTAACATCACACCACATTTACTTGCATCTCATAATTCATTTTTTATTAACAAAACTGTGCAAAGTAACTGTACATACCTGTGTAGTATTTAGAGAGCTTAAATAAGTTTTTTTTTTTTTTGGTACCTAATTTATGGTACAGTCAGTTCTGCTATAACGTGATAGTTGTGTTCTTGTAAAACATCGTGTTATAGAAATTCGCGTAATAGAAATAACAGGGCTTATGGAGAAAATAGGGTTAGGTGCAGATTACTACTCGAAATCGAAAAAAATTTAGTAGTTAGCCTAACACAAAGGATAGCACAGTCTAAATAAATGTTCCATTCATATCTAATAATGAAATCATACAGTAAAGGTAACGCTTTACCTTGAAAAAATATGAATATAACATGATGGGGGAGAAGGGTGATTTTGAGGTAGATAACATCGAGCTTCTCTTCAAGGGTTATAGCCTTTCTTTTACGATCATCACTGGGAATGCGATCACCAAAACGCTTCTTGGAGATATTCTTCTTTACCATATTCACAGTTAATACCACAAAATTGGAGAAATAGTAGGCAAAAATCGCCTTACAGCAAACAAGCGTTCGCGTTATACAAATATCGTTCCTCTATTCATAAATCGCGTTAGAGCCAATTCGCGTTGTCAAAACACGCTTTATAGCAGAACTCACTGTACACTATAATATTAAACATAGGGTACATATTAAAGAATGTTATTTGCCAAATTCTATATTTGCCTCAGGAACCTATCCCTTGGGAATGTTGAGGTAACAGTGTATGTATAGACGTTCTACAGAGCAGCACTACAATACTCACCTCAGGTATTGGGAGATCATCTGGAGACATCTCACTTTTCATATTCTTAGATTCTACAAAGCTGTCCTCTTCTTGTACTTGTCCTGTTTCTGAATCTCCTGTGGCTTATGCTTCTGTTTCTTTTTCCTCGATTTCTTGCAAACTAAATTTTGTACAAGTGGACTCTTGGATTCACTCTATCCTTTATATTATCTGTCTTTGAATCCAGCTCTTGCCTCCTTAATTTCTCTCTCTGCCGTTCATACCTAAAGAAGAAAAAAAATTCCAGTTAAATAAAAACTTTGTTTATACAGTACAGGAAAGGGATGAAATGAATAACCTATAAAACCCACAATGTTAAATGTCTGCTGGTGATCCCATCCTTAAGCCAGAGAGCCAAAAGCTACTGTATTTGTAATGGCAGGATACTGTACACTATCCAAGAGTAACACCAGATGTGGTAATTAATATAAAAAAAAAATGGAAATTTTGTTGAAAATATTTTAGAAGGAAATAAAAACTTACATAGCTAGTTAAAAAAAATTATCCTTCCCTCCCTCCAAACATGCTCAAAAACTGCTATAAGAAACAATAAAAATGATACATATCACATCATAAAATACAATAGTATATATTTTATGCATGCTGTACTGTACAAAAAAATATTTTGACTAATTTTGAATTTTCCATTTCACTTAAACAGAGTACAGTAAAAGTTTGCAGTGATATTACAATGTTTACCATACTTCATACTCAACCAATCGGCAGAAGTGTCTATGTCATGTGATACTCGTGAGCATGTGCAAGCTCTGGAATTTGAATTGCATAATGGCTTCTCCCAGTGAGGGTTGCTCATTGGAAGATTGACGTGTAATTCAATGAGCAGTATTTTAAAAAGCAGCCGCAGTTGTTGATGTCTTTAGGTCTCATGTTGTTCTCCTTGGTTTAGTTAAGAGTCCAAGGTATAATGTAACAGCACCATTTGCATTATATAAATATTTACCCAAATGTATAATACCAAATTATTCAACTGTGCCTCAGCTTTTGACATTATACATGGCTGAGGTTGTATTTCCTTCGGGGGTGAGCAAGGTCTTGGCGAGGTCAGCTCATGTTAGCACAACAGTATATCTGACGTGTTTCCTTTCTCACACTCTAGAGGGCACGCGAGGTCAACTGAATCATAAAAGACAGCCTGCTCCTCATCTCTCTCTCTTTATGTAGAGACAAGGGAGAGATCAGACTCATATCCTTTGTTATCCAGCGAACACCTCACTAAGTGTTCTCCTGTCTCCTGTAAACGTGCACTAAGACACTTTCCCCTAGTCGAGAAGGTATAATATGCTCTCAACAGAACTAAGTACCTGTGAAACTATATTTTTCTACAATAAAGAAAAACCAATGGGGTGTTTACTTCAGCCCTGCCACTTAAAAATTCCAGAACTAATTTATATATTTGTGTGTGATACATATCTATAAAAAAGGCCCAACACACTGGTGGCAAGCGGTGAGACGGATTAAAAGAAACAAACGAAACAAGTGATTCCAGTGACTTAAGTGTCACTTTAAGAGAATCATCAACAAACAAGCAATTACAAGAAAATTAAGTGGACAGTGGCTATAAACACTTGCAGAACGTATACAGGGAGACACAGTGGTAACAAAAACATTATAAAATATTGCCAACTTAGCAGTCAAGCCCTCAGTGACACATCCTACTGAAGGTTACCCCGACCGGAGCCGAGAGAAGCCAAGCCTATCTGAGTGTGGGCTGAGATCACTACCGGCTAACACTACATCACCGGAGTTTAGGAAGGTTGTCAAAGTGGTTCCAGACAATCAAACAATCTTTTGCTTAAACAATCAAGACTCGTCGGTGTGCAACAGAGGACAGCCCCTGGTCAGCCCCTAGCTGATCGCCGCAAGAATGATATTTGGCCTAAGAAATGCACTAGTAACATTCCAAAGAATGATAAACACCTTGTTTGCTGGAATGATAGGTAACACAGTCTATGCCTATCTAGATGATCTTATCATAGGTAGTAGGTAGTAGGCAGCTACCAAACAGGGAGGTACTACCGCCTGGGAAGATATTGGAAGCATAATGTATTGTCTAATGGTAGACCCTGCTGCCATATGGCATCACAAAAATTTTGACCAAGTCCCAGGTTGCTGGTCTGACTTTCTGCCTCATTTACACACAATTGCAGGGTCTTAATTGTTTCTCTTACTATTGACAACACAACATGCATAAGTTGTTTCTCACCTTTGACCTTTTTTCATTTTTGTATATCTCTATGGTTCTTTGTTGTTATTATTATTATTATTATTACAAATAATATTATTACAAATATTATTATTAATATTAATATTATTATTATTATTATTATTATTATTATTATTATATTATTATTATTGCCCCCGGGCCCCGATGTGGGTCGGTGGCCTGTGCCCGGATGGGCTGGTCCCCGTTAAAAAAAAAAAAAAGTAAGCAAAGATTTACAAAGCCATTTAAAGAAACTATGAGTTGTGTTGGGTTAGGTTAGGTTAGGTTAGGTTAGGTTAGGTACATGCACTTGATCTATTAACTCAGATTAAATTAAGTTTACCAATTTTTTGTGACTTTGTGACACCAAATACTAGTCGAGAAGTGATTGGCAGTCCGATTTATTCATCTAGGACCATTATTTGACTTCATTCCGGCTATATTTGGCTACATTTGGGTACATTCGGGTAATTAGTCGGACCCCCTGGAGGGACCCCACAAACAAACAAAGACCTACAAAGTTAAAAAACACCCACAATAAAAAACTAGAAACGAAAAAGATGGGGATCATCCCTCCAGTGCCACAAGGACCTGGAGGCATCCCCCCCCCCTTACATAATATGCCCCAAGGAAGCATCAAATAGAACAACTTAGCTTAGCTTGGCTGAGACCGGCCTTCCCTAACCGTATGAGTCCTCTAATGCAGCACTGTTGACGGAAGACAAAAAACCTCGTCTCCGCAAGGTGGATAGCCCACCTGCTGTTAACCACCTCCTCTATTTCCCACTTCTAAACTTTACCTTGTACTGTACCCTTCTTGCACTCTCAGAGCTATTGCTCTCTTCTTTCCGTATCACCGACCGACCCAAACTCCTTCCTCTACCTACAGCCACGCAGCACGCAACACCTCCTCTGAGCAAGCTCCTCACTGTAGTATCTTTTGCGTTATTTAATAAGAGAATGACAAGTCACATGGTCGGTCTGGCTGGGGCGTTTATTGTCTTGTGTTGGTTACAACGAGCCTAACACATTTCGTGTTTACACAAGCCTAAACACTTTCTGACTTTGGTAAGAAGTAACATAATATATAATGTATATATAATCAATAACGGCAGCATATAAACATACACATATATATATAACACTATTTCTCCCTTTCAAAAGAGAGCATGGCTGCTACAAATTCTAAATAACAAAACTTACAGAATTACCTATGGCAGGGAAGAAGGGAATAGAACAAAACAAATATAAATTCCTAACTAAACAGTTTTGAAAGGCCTGTTCACAATTCAGATAATTAGAGGTCGAATTTAATTACAGGTCTCCTAACTCTGTTTGATCTTCTAGGACTATTCCCTCCATCAAGTTGTACAGGGGTTTCACTTGCACTCTGTGCATTATCAGTGACAGACGTATCATCACTACAGTCAGTTGACACAGTGAGTGGATGCTGGGAAACATCATCTTTGACATCATCATCATCATCATCATCTGAAACTGTGTCGAGTTTATCATCATGTCCTGGTGCTACATTCATCTCGTCATGTGCCTGAATGATGTGATCCACATGAACATATCTCAAAGAGTTACCACATTTCACTAAATATGTCCTAGATCCACATACCTTGTCAATGACACCAGTTATCCACTTTGCATGTACAGTACCATAACCTTTAGCCATATTCCTAACTCTCACCCTATCATTTACCTTGAACACTCTTTCACTGGAAGTCTTATCACGATACATTTTTTGTTGAGCTTGTTTCCTCTCTACAACTGTCACACTATGTGGCGTGGTTCTGTATCCGAGTAAGAAATTTGCTAGTCTGTGTTTCATTGATTTTTCTACAGTTCCTTGAATTACCTACTTGGAAAGTGCCTCCTTCACAATTCTAAATGATCTCTCAGTTGCACCATTAGAGGCAGGATGATAGGGTGGGGTCAGTACATGCTTAACACCGTTGAGTCTCACAAAGTTTTTAAAATCGGTCTATAGTTGTTCATCCAGGTATTTACAAAACAGGATATTCAGGGGCTCGGCAAGCTCGTTGCACAACTCTCTTAGCACTCTAGGATGCACCATGTCAGGGCCGGGACTCTTATGGACCTTTAACCTGGACAGTTTATTTCTAATACCCTCTTCTGTGAACACAATGTGGGTCAGTGCTGTGTCGAACCGTCTGTCCTCAAACGCAGGAAGTTTAATTGCATCCTGTCTTGTGAACACCGAGGAAAAGAAGCTGTTCAATGCCTCAGCTTTATCCTGGTCAGAATCTGCATAACTACCATCTTCAAGCCTCAGGTCTGATACTCCTACTCACGCTTTTAATTTCGACTTTGCATAGCGGAAAAACGACTTTGGGTTTGACTTGACCTTGCTTGCAACCAGCCACTGGAACTCCTTTTCAGCCCTTCTACACTCTATCTTTGCTTGGTTTCTGGCTCTTGCATACATCCTCCTGTCCTGCTCTGTTTGACCCAACCCACGTCTTGAATTTCTGGGTTTTCTTCTTCCCTCTGTCGACCGCCGTGTGGTTCATGTGTAGGGATCCCCTCGTATTCCTAGAAGCACTGGGTTTGGTCTTGGGTATATATTTATCGATCAAATGGGTCACTTTACTAGTTAAGATATTCAGCATAGTGTCTGCGTTCTTGTGCCTTAAAGAGTCAGGCCAGTTGATACCTCTCATCTCTTCCCTCATCCCATTGTAATTTCCCCTGTAATATTTGCACCTTGGCCTGACCTTATCCTGAACTAGGTAACAGTTAAATCTGAATGACAACACTATATGGTGACTGGTGCCAACTGGGGCAAGGTGTTCCAGTTTGGCCACCATACCCTCCTCGTTTGTTATGATGAGGTCTAGTGGCTTGGGTGTTTGCTCCCCTCTGTAATGTGTCGGGTCTCTAACATGTTGGAACAGAAAATTATCTCGCAGAGTTTCTACAAAAAGAGTAGCAGGGTTATTCAAGTCACAGGGGGTGAACTCGTTACTCCAGTCGATGTCGCCATAGTTAAAGTTCCCCATGATAAGTAGGTGGCTAGGGTTGAGCATCGCCGCATTGTCTATTAAGGCTCTTAAGTTCCTTTGATTTAGTGGGCCACAGTTTGGGGATCTGTAGATACACCCAACAATAAGTCCACTCCCTTTAGTTTAATTGTACACCACTTGGACTCTTCAAAATCATCCTCTCCCTGTACCCTCACCTGGCTGGCTCCAAGGTCTTGCCTAGCATAGATAACCACACCCCTCTTGCAAGTTTCTTGAGAAAGGTTCGTAAATGAGTCATTTCCAGCAATACTGAACTCACATTCCTCTGGGTCGATTCTCCTGTTCTTGTAGAACAGTTCGGCAACTCCTACAGTATCTGATTGGTGTACCTTCAGTAGTGTTTCAAACTCCTCTCTCTTATCAATGAACGTGTCAGTATTAGTGTACAGTACATTACATTCAAGCCCGAATTTGTTCTGGGTAACGTCTCTGCTCTTAGTAGTAACCCCCCCCCATTTTCAGAAGCTGCAGCATTTGCTAAGTTCACTGTATTTTGCAGGGTGTGGTTAGAAATGTCATTGTTTACACGGCACTCGCCTCCTCCCGGCTGATAGGCAGAGCTGGTGCCACCTCTCGGGTTGGGGGTAGAGCGGGTGGAGGGTGCGCTGCTGTCTCCCGGCCCTGTGTCGGCACACTTGCTTCCACTACCCTCCCCCTGAATATAACCCATGTACACCCGTCTTCCTTCTTGACTCCTCCCTCTTCTTCAAGTCCTGCAGGAGCTTCTTGTGCTGTTCCCTCTGCATTACCGTGCGATCTGGGTAAATGAATACACCCCGAGATGCCTCGCTCCTTGCTAAGTTTTTTGCCTGCCGAATAACCCCCCATTTCTCCTCCTCGCTCACTAGTGTGATTCTGAGGGGGCGAGGCTTATCCCCCTGCTTTTGTCCCAGCCTCCTCACGTCCTGTGGGGTTGATGGAATCAACTAGGTTTTCATACACGCATTAGTGGTTGCGTTAGCTCAAAAATAAATCACATTGAGATGTACACGGTTGTTTTCATTAACACGGTTGTGTAAGCGTTATGCGTGTGTCTGTTGACAATGAGCTGAATATCTCGAGCCATTGATGTTAAGTTTTAAGGGCCCAGACATGTATACTGAGACACATTTTTCAAATCCATCCTATATCAAAATGGTTAAGGCTATCACAGTTTTAAGACTTAAAAGAAGTGAATAAAGTATCAACAATTTATTAAACCATCTATACAATCATATACAATTTTCAACCTATAATACAAATTTTTATTACAAGGACCTACAAAAATATAAATAAAACCACACATCATACATTAATAAAAAAAATAAAAAAGTTTGTATGTGTATAATTTGTATACTGCTGAAATGTAAAAGTCAATTTCTTGCCCTCAAAAAAAGACACTCGTTAAACTGAGATATATTTAATTATTAAAAGTTCTTGGTTATACAATATGGAAAAAAAAATAATAATTATAGCATTCTGGAATGATTTTAATATTTTTGCACTAAATTTCAAGGGTTATAATAATATGATTTTTTGATAAATGTTTTATCAGCATAAAAAGGGTTAATGAGAAGTTTTCAAACAGAATTTCCTCTTGTTTTTTCAGGTAGGTACGTATTTTGGTTTGCAGAGAAAATTACTTCTTACTCATTACACTTCTTGCAACATTTTTGTGCATGAGAATGTACATTCAAAATATAAACAGTTACTTTGGGTTATTTCATGATAGTAAAAGATTTACAAAATGAAGTACATGCATTACTTTTTTAATTAATAATTTATCTATTACACTTGAATATTTGGAATCTGTATTGCTTGGGGCCAAGAGACAATTGGAAAGTACACAATTTCATAATTATGGTGACAGACAGGAGACTTAAAGAAACAGTGAGAAACGTACTCACGTTCTGAAATTTAGCTCGCATCAAGACTATCTCAGAGAGGGGGTGCCGGGAGAAGCTGACAAGGTTATGGGAGCACTGGAGAAGTCTACAAAAAAGTCGGGACAGGGCTGCAAAGGACAAGGTTGAAAACTTCAAGTCTCAACTTGACCTGTTGTGGGACATCGGAGCACCGGACGCCGTAGAGGACATCAAGAAGAACCGGCTGCTTACACCGGCCGACAAACAACAAGACATCGCCTTCTATCAAGACCAACGCGGAGAAAGAAAAGCGTTCATGAGTGGTAACGATAAGATTTTTGCCGCTAAGAAGAGAAAGCAGGAGGAACGAGTCGAGAAGCAAAGGTCGAAACAGGAAGGTTCGCAGCCTGTGAACCAAGCAGCAGTGATTCGAGACCTCAAACCTCTGTGGTGGCTGACACCCCAACGGAAGTAGAAATGGAGAAAAAGGACACAGCGATACAACCTGGCAGGTACACATCAAAGCACCCTTATGTGACGGTTCAGCTTCCACGTCGCATTCTCCAAGAGCCAGCATTAAAGGAACTCGCTGACCGTCTTCGGATATCCAATAACGAAGTAAGTGTATCCATAAATGTGTTTGGAATGTTTGAAATTTCTGTTAATTATTTGATAAGCACTTAAACAGTCGACATTTTCTACTGACACCCTTGCCTGCTTTTGCTCGCAGATAGTTCGGTGGTCGCAGCAGTGCTGCGCTCTGCTAACCCGCCAGGCGATCTGTCTGAGTTCCGGATCTCGAGAGAGACGGGCACGAGCTTCACACCGTCGTCAGGTAACTGCCGCACAAAGGGAAGCCTTCACGCCTCCACCACATGCAGTGGTGCACTGGGATGGTAAGCTGGTTAAGGTGAGAACACGTTTAGGTACTACATTAATATTTTACCAAAGCCTAGACTATTGTAATATATTGTTAGAAATGTATCAAATCATTAACAAAAAGCTTGGAGAAAAAGGCAGCCTTGATAATTCTTCATTATCTGTCTGAATTTTTATATTTCTCTTATTTCAGAACGTTGTGGGAGAAGAAGAACACCGACAGGCCATCTTCATCTCAGGGCGCGGCCATGAGGAAGGGAAGCTGCTTGCTGCCTTGCCAGTGAAGGACGGCACTGGCCTGACCCAGGCACGCGCAACAGCTCGTGCTATCGAGGACTGGAGCTGCGCTTCAAACGTCAAGGCACTGTGCTTTGATACAACGTCGTCCAACACAGGGCGAGTCCAAGGTGCGGTTGTCCATCTGGAGGCGCTGCTGGAAAAACAGCTGTTGAGGCTTGGGTGCAGACACCACGTCATGGAACTGGTGGTGAGAGCCGCTGCCAGCAACATCTTCGACAAAACATCGGCCCCTACGGACCCTCTCTTCCAGACTCTTAAGAAAAGGTGGAGTCGACTAGATCACTCTCAGTATCTCAGGCTGGACATTGCAAATCTACCAGAATCTGACTGGCTCAGTCACCTCCGACACAGGACCGTTAGCTACCTGCTGACCGTCACAGAATGGGCCAGAGAGGATTACCGAGAAGCGGCAGAACTAACGCTCCTCGTCCTCGGTGTGAATCCTCCGCGCGGCACGCACTTTCTGCGTCCTGGCGCATGTCACCACGCTCGCTGGATGGATGGCGAAGATCATATACTACCTCAAGATCTACATGTTTAGCCACCAGCTAGAGCTCAGCAGTGACCTGTGCGTCAAGCTGCAGAGGATGGCGATCTTTGTGTCTCTGCTGTACACACCGGCGTGGCTGAAATCACCAGTAGCCGAGGATGCGCCTGTGAATGACCTGCAACTGCATCACGAACTCCTCCGCTACAGGGCCGTGGACTGTGAGGTGGCTGATGCGGCGCTGGCGGTCGCGAGCCGCCACCTGTGGTATATAAGGCCACAGACCGTCGTTCTGTCGCTGTGCAGCGAGAAGTTGAGTGCGGCAGAGAAAAAGGAGATGGCGACCAAATTGAGCTGCCTAGAAGAAACGAACGACTACGCCAACGACAACTTGGTCATCCAACAGACTACACGGCTTTCCGACCTGATAGATGAACGTTCATGGATGATCTTCAAGGAGCATCATGTGTGCGGCACAGCATGGCTGATGTCACCAGTGGAAGACTGGGAGAAAAACGAAGAGTTCATGAAGCTGAAAGATTTCTCCAGAAGCCTGAAGGTAACCAATGACGTGGCCGAAAGGGGAATAAAGCTTATGCAGGACTTCATTGGTTCAGTCACGAAGGATGAGCAGCAGCTGCAGGATGTCATGCAACTTGTGGAAAAGCACAGGAAGCAGATGAGTGGCTTCAGCAAGTCTGCTCTGATGCAACTGTGAGAGTTGAATAGAGGGGGGATTGAACTTTCAAATTGCATCTCCTCCTAGAGTTATTGACCTATTTCAATGATGTTTGTTTTTTTAAGAGGGAAATATATCATGGAAAAGACTGTGACGGCAAAATATTGATATGTGTTTTCGAATAAATGGAAAAGTCAAAATTATGAATATTTTGGAATCTGGTTCCCTTAACGCAGGTAAAGCCTTTGACCTGAACTAGAAGGTCAACTAAGAGGTGCATGCAATCGAATTAGGTGTCAATGGAAAGCTGAATAGCTGCTCTAGCCAGCCATTAGGGTTAGGTAGTGAAAAGCAGCACAATTGCTGATCTATAAAAGAAAAGCTTGTGTTTTGACGTTTTTTCGCAAAAGTTCATTTTTTATATTTGGATTCGCGACCCCTAGAACATGTTGGATTTCATTAATTCTGGCACCAATGAATTTAGGAGTAACGAAATAATGGGAAAAAACACCCCCACCCACAATTTTCTAAAATTGGGAAAAATGAGCAACCCTGATGTGTAACTGTATAAAAACAATAATTATATTATATATATATATATATATATATATATATATATATATATATATATATATATATATATATATATATATATATATATATATATATATATATATATATATATATATATACCAAAAATACAGTACATATTATCCTGACCATTGGGGCTAGTTATACAGACTTTTTCCTGTGAAAATGCCATAATTTTGAGCAACATATTACTGTACTCACTTTGTACTCAAATGTACAACACTGAAGGATTAAAATAATCACTTGTGCAAACTATGTGATGTTTTTAATTAATTGCTATATTGCAAGGATTCCAGCAATGCAAGTTATATTCTGCTAAGTTAAGTGACATTTCATACGAGAAAATCTTTAGGCCTAAACTACCTTCACCCTCTAAATTCTTATTACCTTTTGGCTGGTAGTTGAGGTGTTGACAGCCAGATTACCAAGTGCATAGTTATCAGTCAAACAGAGAGAGTTTAAGTTTTTCACTTATAAAATGTAACGGACTTAGCAGAATATAACTTGCATTGCTGGAAATCTTGCAAGATAGTAATTAGGGTATAAACATCCCATAGTTTGCACTAGACATAAAATTTTTAGTAATTAGTACATATGAAAACAGGTTTGTCCTTACAACAATTATTTCTTTTACTTTTTTCACAATATGTATTTAGGATGGTGTGTTCATGTAAACGAGTAAAAATAAATACAGAAAGTTATATCTATCTACCCAAAAATACAAATTGAAAAACAACCATAACATCTCACAGCTTTGCCCAGTAGTCTGGTGGTTGCAGTGACAAGTCTAACCTGCCTACAATGCCATGATTAATCATTATTAGCATTATTATATCAATAAACACTAATACTGACAGTAAGTCCAGAGAAATATGGCAGGGAGGGGGGAGAGTTAAGAGCAGACGACGCTCAACTAGCCAGGCGTACAATGGAAATACGTAATCTTGTAGTCTAATTTTAAAACAGTGATACACAAAGAATATGAATCATGCTTTTACCTACGATAACATAATATGAAACATTGTATCACTGCTAGTGAATAAAATATTCCCACAAATAACAAGTGACAACTGTTTATGTTTCCCACCTCCTTGGGCACCTGCGTGACTTACCAGTCAACTATGTAACAATGTCATTTTTTTTTGTTTTTTGAGTAGATTGTGTCATATTTAGAGAAATATAGAAAGGGTGGAGGGAGGGAGGGGAGTGACCTTTTGATAGTCGGCGCCGAAGGTTTAGTGATGTATTTATTTGTTTATGTCCTTTAGCTTGAGTTTATGCTTTTTGTTTATAAAATGTCACAAAAGTGACCAGGGAGAATATAATTTGCATTGCTGGAATTCTTATAAGATAGTGATTAATTTGAATATAAACATGCTATTGTTTGCACTAGACAAAAATTGTAGTAATCACTTAGTACATTATTTTGAGTAAATGTACAGTACAGCTTTGCCCTTAGGACAGTGTAGCGTGCCCAGAGGAACATTAGACGCAAAATTTTAAATATGATGCGCCAGATTGACTCCCACAAAATAGGAAAGATTCGCTTTAAATTCAAACATTGTCCTTGATTGTGGGTGTCGCTTTAAATCAATAATTTTAAATTGAATTGCTATAAATCGACGTTCTACTGTTTAAAAATTTTAGATCGGCTACGTGATGGAGAGCGTGTAGCAACGCATGCCCGCAAGAACTCTGTAAATGAATCCACCATACACACAATTTATAGTTGCGAGGACAAAAAATGTGCAAGTGTGAAAGCATCTGCTTCTCTTAGTGCTAAGGTGGCCCAAGTACCAAGGAGGGATTAGTACTTGAAAAAAAAAAGGAAAACTATTGTATGTTTGGATATCGTCATCATAGTTACACGACAATCATCTAACCATGGATTGGTGAGTACAGTAATATGATTTTATAATGCTTATCATTAATATGTTTAATTGTTTATTGTATGTTAGCTCTATTATTATCATAATTGTGCATTATGTAAATGTTTAAAAGGTATGCATTTCATGTGATAGAGAAAATAAACGGCCACAATTCGCCACCCCATTTTCCCCATAGGAAGTTAAGTTTGCCCAACACACCATTTTCGAGGGTTTACTCTGTGTGTGTATATCCACTACTGCACCCAGTATCATCACTTCTGTGTTTGTTCTGATACATTTTAAGGATAGAACACCTGGTTAGAATCCACAATGCTTGATGAGCAACTAAAAAGTAATGGAGGTAGTACAAGCATACCACCAGCTGACCGATTTAGGCTAGGTCAGCTGATGAGTTTTGGAGGGAATTTTGAGTTTTAAAATACTTCCAAAATTTTGTTATTTCCAACAATTGGTTATAGAATTCCGGATACTCAAGTGTATTAGTTACAATATCTGTATCAATTTAACTAATTCCTGCTGGCAATAATTCAAGTGCTGTACAACAATGTGTTTAATACTCAAATAATAATAATACAAAATAAAATTTTAAGTTTCTACAAATGGTAACTTTATTTCTAGGCTACCATCTCTCTCTCAACTAACAGTTTCAGATTTTTCTGGAGGAGCAGATGCTTCTTCTACAGCAGCTATGACAGCAGCGCTGAACATTGTTTTTTTATCCTCATGGGAACTCCGCCATGAAACCTGGAATAAAATTATAGTGAATTTCATGAATAAATTTAATAAATATTTCTATATGACTCATCAATGATATCAATCTCTCTACACAATGTTACATATTGTAGCACTAACTAGCAAGGAAAACACAACATATTTCTGAGCCATATTTGTTAATTACTACTGTACCTTTATATATAGATGTCAAAGATTAAATAACTATACTTCCACAATTTATTGAAGAAATCTGATGATAAGGTGTTACTAACTTCAAAACACTCAACAGAATATGGATTTTACAAAATTTAACACGAGATAAATCTGTACAATCCATGGGAAATAAAAATTGTTGGAACACATGAATGATTAATTTTAATATCCTTAGCCCATTCAGTCAGAGGACACACCTGATACACACTAGAACACCAAGCTGTGCACCAGACGATCTTCAAACACCAAGCAGTACACTGGAGGACGTACCTGGAACACCCTTATGAAATACTGCCCAGTGTCACTGGTGGAACCCTGTGATATCCCACTTGTCATACTATCATGACACTGATATCCCTCGTCTTCTTATCACTATTTTGTTTTTAATGTGTGTTAGGGTGAGTATTGAGGTGGTGTGGTGGGTAACTATGGAAGTAGTGGTGTGTACGATGATTATTGTTGTGAGATGATGAGTAGTGAGGTGTCGTGGGGGGTGATTATGTTGGCGGTGTGGCAGGGTAATTATGATGGTGTGCGAGAGTGACTGTTGTAATAATGTAGTGATAATGTTAATAATCATGTGTTTGTAATGTATAATTGACTAAACATTCATACGACAAGAATTGATGAGAAGTATTACAAGAAAATGAGAAATTTGAGGTAGTTCACAGTACATTTTCTTTAATTTCATTACACAAACAATATATTAGGAAAGGAAATAGATAAAAAGCATTTAATCTCTTTACAGTCATTAATATTGTAAATACTGTATATGTTGTAATTACTCACTTAGAAATAAAAGAGGGACAATACAACAGTAAGCATAATTAGGTTTATAACACAGAAATTAACAGTATAAGTAAAATATGATAACTCTGAGATGGGGTTTAGGTACATGTGATATCTCAGCTATACTGAGCACTGTTACAGAGCCTATTGGGTACCATAAGGTAGGATTATTCAGCAACATGACACATTTTTCAAGTGGATAATGCAATTGCTGCAAATCAGCTCTGTACCCAATCACATCAGCAGCCTTTCAAGGTATCTAGCAAGGTGGTCATCATTATTATTACTGTTTTATGGCTATTTTCCACACTTGGATATTTACCTGATAGCAGCCTCTCTTGTCAGTTCTTACCTCTGAGGTCATTTCTCACAATTCCTCCCCATGTCATTCTTGGCCTAACTCTTGCTCTCCTCTCCTCCACATGTGCTCATACATCTCTTGACCCAAGTAGTCTCCTCCATTTTCTCCACATAACTTAACATTCTCAACCTACTTCTTTGCAAGGCCTTGCTAATGCTCTCAATACCCAGCTGCCCTCTTAGCTCTGAACAGGGACTCTTTATCTCTCAATATGTTATACATCCCATTCACCATTGTCATTTCGACTCACTTAAGAAGAGCGTCGGGTTGAAGCACGAAATTTTTTAATAATTGATTAATCAATATAAATTCCTGTTAGCAGTTAAGGACACCAACTACACTGTTGCTATACCCCTGAATCAGTTCTGTTTAATCCCCGATTTTTCCCTTATATTCTCATCAATTATCATAATTCTACTTCTCCATAAATTCTTGCTAGACGTTAAAATTTATGTAGAGGATAAGTAATTTACACCTCTTGAATGTGCCATATAGATATTTATGATTATTGCTTCTGTTTTGGGTGCATGAATTTTTTCCTAACTTAAATTTTTTTCCTCCACATATTTATAAAGATAAATCAGCAAATAATAAACCAAGCCAGGTATATAGAAAATCCATATGCTCAGCTATGCACAATATGTTATTCTACTACTTAGTTTTCGTTTTATTAGAATTGGCCCATAAATGGTCGAGCCTTATGAATTTGAAGGTTAGAAAAACTCGTTTTGAGATACGGGCCGATAAGAGTGGCTTGAAAGCAACACATGGTTTAACCTCACTCTCGTTTCTTTCATGGGTAACTGAGGAATACAAGCAGCCTCAGACTCTCGTCCTGCAGCTAGCTAGCTGAGAGAGGTGCTAGATACTGATTTTTACTAAGTGATTGGTAGTACTATACTTTACACCAAAATATTATAAATACTTTTCTACAGCATTTGCTACTTAAACAGAAGGGCCCTCTATATGAAGGGGGTAGAACAACCATGCATAGCTACATAAATCTTACAAATTATGCAATCAAAATACGTCGGCAGATAGCCATAAACTATTTTCAGCTGGACGCTCCCCTTAAGCCTACATACAGTATATCATCATTCACTGCCATACATCATGCTCTTACTGCCAATTGCAACCTCTGACACTTGCTATGAGTTAGCTTCAGCACCACCTCCAACACTGACCATGTGAGCCAGGAAGCAGAACTCATCAACACAATCAAGAGAGATATTCCCAATGTCAAGCTTTTCTAGCAACATCCTGTGGTCTTCCATTCACTACACATTATTGAATTACAGCTAACACCTTTCTTACAGAAGGCACATTACCATTCTCCAGTTTTCACCACAGGTTCTTCACCCATGACATTAAGCATTCCTTTAGTTTAAGCCAAATTCTTTCTAATACACTTTTAACTTTGTTCCCTCCTTCCATTTCTTAAATTTCTCCACTATCTCTTCATATTATCTGCTTTCAGCATTAAAACATCCCTTGTCAGCATACAACTACTTCCAGAAAACATCAGTCCTAAACTCTCACTACAGTGCCTCCAATATCAAGGCAACATATACTGCTACTGGATAATGCATATTATTTGTTGGTAAATTACCTTCATTCTGTACTTTTAATAATGCAAAATAGCATATGTGTTCAACTGTGTTTCATTATGCTCTTACTTGAGAGTAAAGATTAACAGGATCATAAGAATTGTTTTGAGTGTACAAGGTGGGATTTGGTGGTGAGAGCCTTGACAGGGCGCATAATTTTAATTATTTAGTAAAATATTAAGGTAAGTTTCAAGTGCTCCCCCCCGGCCAGAAAAGTCATGCTCATGCAAGATGAAGGCAAATGCCTCCATACAAGGTGCAGTTTGCGAAATAAAAAGAGTCCCTCACACATATTTATGTATGAGAGTGAAACATGGGTGTACAGCAAAAAAATAATAAACAAAGAGCATACCATAATATGACAATTCTAAAAGGCTTGTTAAAGAAGAAGAATGGAAAGGTAAAACAAGTAATTGAGAGATGTAAGGATAAGAGCAGATGAAGAAATGAAGCTCGGAGTATGTGAAGAGAATGAATGCGAGACAAGTACTGTATAAGGAGTGGGTGTATGCATGTACAGAATATACCACTAGTAGACGGATGTGACAGAGGAGACAAAGTGAACTGGAAGGAAAGTATGAAGGAACTTATGGTTATGAAAGTTATTAAGGGTGAAAGTGAAGGACATGTTACTATATTGTGGTACAGGTTGTACCTCTCTAGTCCGGCATTCTGTGGTCCGGAACGATTTTAGTTTGTCCAATAGATAGATTGGCAGCTTTTTTTTAACTTATCTGAATTATTATTATTATTACAGTAGTATTAAATTTTTGCCCCTCAGGCCCCAATGTGGGTCAGTGGCCTATGCCCGGGTGGGCTAATCCCTTTAAAAAAAAAAAAAAAAAGTCGCGGGAAATTAAGGTTTGTTTACATCCGGCAGTTCGGCTGCTCTCTCTCTCTGCTTGTCTATACAGAGTACAACATTTAACCCTTCAATATATATGAGCAGTAAATAAGTGTTGCTTTCATATTCTTATGTAGAGTAATGACGATATGTTTTCACATGTGCGCACTTACATACGCGCAGTCTAGGCGCAGTCTCACTTTTTTTTTTACTATTAATGGTTAGCTACTATATTGTTCCATTTATTAACATTAAATAACATTACAGGTACTTCAAACCACCATATTAATTTTTTTACATTAATTTTACTACAGCTAAAATCAGGGTCTTATTTTCTTCAGTTTTATATGTAGAACCAATCAATCACTGATTTCGTAAGCTTTAACATAAACAATGCCGGCAGCCGTCTCGTCTCCTCTAATATTCCACGTATTATTAATAAATTGTATTGTTAATTTTGCACACACAAACATTAATTCAATAAAAACAAATTCAGAAACATTAATTAAAATATATATGAACAGTAAATAAGTGTTGCTTTCATATTCTTATGTAAAGTAATGACGATATGTTTTCACGTGTGCGCACTTACATAAGCGATCTCTCTTTTTTTCTTTACCATTATCGTTAGCTACTTCTATTGTTCCATTTATTAACATTAAATAACATTACTTAAAACAACCATACTAGTTTTACTACAGCTACAACCATGGTTTTATTTTCTTCAGTTTTATATGTAGAACCAGTCAGTTACTGGTTTTGTAATCAACGAAAACAATGCTGTGTCATTTCCTCGTGTGTTTTAATATTCTACGTATTATTAATGAATTGTACTGCTCATTTTGCACACATAAACATTAACTCAATAAAAAAGACATTCAGTAATAAACAATAATGAATCTTTTGTACATAAGAGAAATGACGCTGTTTACACGATTATGCACGTCGTCTGCACGTTGGCGGGCCGTTCAAACCCGTCGAAATTCAAGTTTCCGCCATCAAAATTTTTATTTATTTATTTTTTGTGTTCCAATAAAATACGTTAAGAATTAAAAACTCGCGAAATTTGAGAAGCTACTATACAACATTTAACCCTTCAATATGTCTTCAAAGAGACCATGATGCAGAGAAAGTGGTGCTAGTGCTTTCAAGCACAAGTCACTATCTATCCAGGAAAAGGGTGAATTTCCATGGTCCGGCACCGGTCAGGTCCCGAGGTTGCCGGACTAGAGAGGTACAACCTGTAAAAGAATCACTGAAATTATATCATTAAATAGACAGACCTTGTGTTTCTTATGTTGTACGGCTGCATTTGCTCGACGCAGCATAATATCGTCTGTGAAAACACCTTCAAGGGATGCATAGGTTGTCATCTGCCAGTCCAGGGCCAAGTTAGTGATCTCTCTGCCAGACATACCCTTAGTAATTTGGGCTACAGTGGTGCAAGCTTTACTGTAGTCAAACTCTGCTACTTTTAATCTCCTGAAAGTAAATATAAATACATAGATTCATCTGTTCCAGTAGACAAAGAGAATTGGTGACAATAAATGCTGGGAATCTGTTTTCCATGTAAACACAGCCACCCAGTATATACAGTCATGCGCCGGTTAACGTCTAACCGAACAACGTCCGATCGCATATATGTTGGTGCCCCACAAAAAAAAAACACGTGACGCCTGCTGGACCACCACTCCACGACCCCCTGACGGAGACACGATGATCCTCCCCATACTGGTCATATATTATGTGTTAAAGGAATATGCTTCCTTACTTAGGCTTTTTTAAGCATTTGCCTACAGGTGATATGTTAATCTACATCTATTGAGGATAAAATCTTTCACCTACAAATTGACAATAACACATTTGCTGTAATCAGACATATCTAGTTGCCTCAACAATTGCAAGTTGCAATTGGGGTTGCAATTTCAAATTCTGTGGCATTACTAAAAATAGTAAAGTTTCTGGTGCACTCTAAGATTAAGAGAGAAAATAGACTCGTATTACGGGGGACCAAATAAAAAAAGCATAGCTTCATGTTTTGTGGACTACAGTATTAAGCGTACCCGTTTCATCACTTTGTAATAAACCTAGCCATGCCTATGTGTGTTTATGATATTTACCATAACATTATATATATATTTAATGGGTCTTAATGGGAAACTTGGGGTTGGGTCTTGGGTGCCTGAACCAAATAGAATAAATCCCATAGGTTCTGTACTTTCGTTATCGGCGGGGTCCCAATTAGGCGCGATAACCAAGGGATGACTGTACTGTACTGTATATACTTGTGACACTGACCAGTTGCTTCTGGTGTTATGGTACAGGGGTACCAAGTGACAGCACTAGGATCCCGCTTCCTCTATTAAGGAATAAACAATTAAAATTTAAATTGAAAAAAAAAAAACCATTCAAATAAATTACTATCTTACAAGAATCCCTCCAATGTAAGTTATATTCACCCAGGTTGTTTGGGTGGAAAATTATGAGAAGAGCTTAGTCACTCTTAAGTAATGATAAATAAACACGCAGGCAGGCCTTCAGCACCAATTGTCAAATCTTATCTCAAATAAATAAACAAAAACGCCAGACATTCTGTCCCCCCCCCCCTCCCCGCCGTCTTCCCACCACCCTCGTGTTCAAGATAAAAGATTGGTGATTTCTTAAATGTTTATTTTATATAATATCTCAGACTAAAGTTAGGATAATATAATTTGCATTGCTGAAATCCTTGCAAGACAGAGATTAATTTGAATATAAACGTCATATATTTTGCTCAAGATATAAAAAATGTAGTACATTAGTGTACAATACTGTAGTACATTTTATAAAAAGTTTTTCAACTGTATTTTTGGGTAGATTTACATAAATTTCTTCACTTATTTTCATCCATTTACATTCACACACCATACTAAAAGAAATGTAAAATAAATTAGTACAAAGCTGCAGTGCACAAGTACTAATTTGACTACGGTACTAAAATTGTTATGTCTAGTGCGAATTACAACATGTTTATATTCAAATAAATCAGTATCTTACAAGAATCCCAGCTATGTTAATTATATTTTCCTAGGTCATATCACTGGCATTTTAAAATGAGAGAAGCTTAGTATGACTGTTAAATAAACACACAGAGACCTTCGCCTCAAACTTATCACCTCAACCCCCCCTCCCAACCCCTCGCTGGGTGGCGGAGCCGTCAGTCCTCCCCCCCAGCCAGGCTTTTAGGCTTACAGTTTTTATCTTATATAATATCTCGGACTAAAGTTAGGAGATTATGATTTGCATTGCTGGAATCCTTGCAAGACAGCCAATAATTTGAATATAAACGTCATATATTTTGCTCAAGAGATAAAGATTGTTGTACATTAGTGTACAGTACCTTGCCCGCCGCTTGCCGTGTATATTAAGGACTGTACCGCGTAACTCATAATTATCGCGTCTGGACAGGTGCCGCGTAAATGGCCAATCGCGTATAAAATATCCGTGTAAACCCAGACTATACTGTACTTGTTAACCTTGTTCGTTTCGGCGGGTGTTAGTAAGTCGTGGACTCCCTGTACAACTAAATGATGTTGACTGAAACAATGTTAATGGGGGAATTGGTGTATTGTGCAAGTTTGAAAAAATATAATAAGCGGTTCAATAAGTCATAAAAATATTATGCAGTTAATGGGAAAGCTTACCTTTTTCCTTCAGAAGCTGGTAATAGTATATATTTTTCAAAATACAGTCTGACCAGGCGTTCTCGCTCTGCCATGGTAGGCAGAGGAAATTCCACAGGTTCATGAACTCGATCAACCACAGCAAAATCAAGCACCTCTGGAGTGTTAGAAGCCAATACCATCATAAACCTGTAAAGTAATTTTTTTTTATTAAACAAAAACTTCGGTTTTCCTGATGTTATTACAACAAATAAAAGGACCTTATAATTTACAATTCAAGACACAAAGAAATTAACTGTGTAATAGTTCAAACCCATATTCTGATGTTCTTAAATAAATGTTTTAGGTGTACAGGTTATAATGCAATAGTGGAATGGACATTCACCAACTCACATCCAAGAAAGTATTCCGCTGCAATCTGCAGTTACAGCCACACACAAATCAAGTGTAGCAGACCTTGTTATTTCACAATTCAACACAGTACAGTATACTTTGCTTTTGTTATTTCGTGGGATTCTAAATTGATGGCAAATTTTTTTTTTACTTTGGGGTCAAACTCCTTTATTCTGTGGTGTAAGCTCATTTGGCTGCAGACACTTTTTGTTTGTTGCATTTCCTTTATTTCGGTTCTGTTTTGGTAGTTTCACACAAGACGAGGTCAAAGTTGGCCATATTTGATGTAATGTACAAGATATTGTAACCAATTATTTTGTTAAACCCTACAGTACTATGAGCAAGAAGATAAATAAAAATAAATAGATGCTGCTGTATCTAGTGGTATTAAGAAGAAATGGTATGCTATTACTTTTGATGAGACAATTAATCCCTTGAAATTATATAAGAGTAAAACCTAGACTTAACACACCAAATTTTATCTGGGCGCATTCACTGTTCGCTCTGACTCAGAATAAAAGTATTCCGAGTCACCATTATCAATCATGTCAAATTAATCTCCTTTATCAACCACAAATACAGTAAGTCTTTGCTTAACATCATCCCGCTTAACGGTTTCGATACTACGTCGCTAAACTTTAAGAGACCAAAAATTCGTTTAACGTCCCGGTGATCCGAAACTGTCGTTTTGCAGCGTCACGGACTACTTTCTATGATGTATCACCCGCTCTTGTCTGGCAACGTTACACTCTCTCAGCTCGGCTCGCTGCCCTCACACGTGGAATGTCACAGCGTCCCCAAGCGACGCCAAGTCACTCTCTGTTATGAGTTCACATCATTCGTGTGTGCTTAAGTGCTTCTGCTCTAAAACTGTACTCTAACCAATTGAATTGGCTTCCAAGCACCCATCAAGTGCTACTGATACTAGTGTAGTGAAGAGGCAACTTAAGACCATTACCTTTGCTATGAAAATGGATGTATTAACCCAATTTGAAAAAGGGGAACGTGCTATGGACATAGCCGCTGTGCTTGGTCTAACCCCCACAACAGTGCGTACTATCCGGACCAACGCTAACAAGATTAAGGTTAGTGCTGAAAGTGGTTCTTCTCTGAGTGCTACTAAGACAACTCGTTCTAGAAGTACTGTGATAGAGAAGGTGGAAAAGATGCTGGCTATGTGGATGGAGGACCAGAATCAAAGCAAAGTGCCTGTGAGCCTTATGGTTTCCAGCATAAGGCCAGATCCTTGTTTGACGACATAAAGGCAGAAGAGGGTGAAGGATCGAAGGAAGAGACCTTTACGGCCAGCCGAGGCTGGTTTCAGTAATTTAAATGCAGGTATAACTTCCATAATATTAAGATGACTGGTGAAGTTGCCAGTTCAGATACAGTTGCTACCAAGATTTCTGACAAAATTATAATGGATTATCCAGCAAGGAGGCTACACATCGAAGCAAGACTTCAATGTGGATGAGACTAGTCTCTTTTTGGAAGAGGATGCCTGAGAGGACCTATATCAACAAGGATGAGTAAAGAGCGCCAGGTTTTAAAGCGGCAAAAGACCGCTTGACGCTGCTGCTTGGCGTGAACACTGCCGTCGGCTTCAAGCTGAAGGCTATGTTGATTTCTCGAGCTGCCAACCCACTGGCCCTGAAAGGTTACTCTAAGGATCACCTTCCTGTGATCTTCAAGGCAAATAAGAGGGCATGGATAACCGGCGGCATATTTAGCCAGTGGTTAAACGTGTACGCCGTCCCTGCACTGAAGGAATTCTGTGCCAAGGAGAACCTAAACTTCAAAATTCTTCTGATCCTTGACAAGGCTCCAGCTCATCCTCCCAATCTCGACGGCTTGCATGACAGTGAAAGAGTTGTATTCCTGCCTCCCAACATGACAGCACTGATGCAGCCTATGGACCAAGGCATCATCGCCGCATTCAAGGCGTATTATTTATGCAGTACCATGGCCCACCTGCTCAAGGCTACAGATGGAGATAATAAACTACGATCTGAGAATATTGGCAAGGCTTCAACATTCTTCATGCAATTGACAACATTGGCAAGGCATGGGAAGAGGTTTCATAAAGTTGCCTGAATGGTGTGTGGTGTAAACTATGGCCTGAGTGCATCAACAGTTTTACGGGATTCACGGACTTAGTCCCAGCTGTGAATAGGGATATCCTCAGCTTGGCTAGACAGGCAGGCTTTGATGAGCTGGAATCAGAGGATATTGAGGATGTCCTGGCATCCCATACAGAAGAGCTGACCAACGAAGATCTGCAACATTAACAGAACACAGTCCTGTTGAAGACGAGGACGACGGGGAAGAACCTCAACGTAACTTCAATGAGGTTGGCAGAATCGTTGAACATGTTCCAACAAGCAATGCAAATCTTTCTAGTTGACGACCCAAACAGAGAACGTAGCTCAAAGTTTCAACGCAGAGTTGAGGACAGTCTTAGTTGTTACACCAAGATCGATAAGAAGAAGAGTAGCACCAAGCAGTCAACACTGGATTCATTTTTTCGCCGCAGGACGGCAGAAGGAGCTTCTTCAAAACAGCCAGCAGCCGAGAAGCACACATCAATGGAGGAGGAGCAAGCAGTGGCGGAGGAACCCCAGTCACAACAGGAGGAGGAGGAGGCAGCCGCAGTCTAAGTGACTCACCCTCCTCCTCCGCTCCCGCCACACTCCTCTGCTCCCGCCATCCTCCTCCTTCGCTCCACTACCCACCACACACTCACTCCACTATTACTACCTCCGCCCATCAGTGAGTACCAATACAAACTTAGTATTGTAGTTCTATATACTGTATATATACTATTTTCTATAGAAATGGCAATGATTTTTCTGTATACAGTAAGTCCTCGCTTAATGTCGGGGTTAAGTTCCTAAAAACGCGACATTATACAAAACAACGTTAAGTGGATCAATTTTCCCCTTAAGAAATAGATAAAATACGGGAGTTACATTCCCCAGCCTCCCTTTGCCCCATGAAATACATTACAAGTACAGAAAATCATTGCCATTTCTATAGAAAATAATGCATACATATACAACTACTAAGTTTGTATTGATACTCACCAATGGGTGGAGGTGGTAGAGCGAGTGTGTGGTGGGTAGTGAAGCGGAGGAGGCGGATGGCGGGAGGGGAGGAGTATGGAGGGAGCGGAAGAGGAGTATGACGGGAGCGGAGGAGGAGGAGGGTGGGAGCGGAGGAGGGTGGTGAGTCACTGACACTCTGCACCAAGCCGATAGAGCAAAGCGCAGCCAGACGAGAGAGGGTGATGCACAGTAAAATGTAGTCTGTGACAACGCAGAACGGCGTAGTATCGGATCACCAGGACGTTAAACAAATTTTTGGTTTCTAAAGTTTAGCAACGTAGTACCGAAACAATGTTAAGCTGGATGACGTTAACCCTTAGGCCCCGGGTGATGTTCCAAACGTCTTAACAGTTACTCGTTTTTTTAATAGTTTTTGGTTAAAATACTGTTATATTACAATGGTATTCTATTCATACTGTGCTTGATATAATGCATTCACGGAAATGTAATATTTTTGCTGAAATTACGTACGTATTACAGTGGAAAGTGGGATAAAATCGTGACGAAAACAATGACTTTGAAATATAATGCAATATTAACCCCTAAATCGGTTAATTCGGACAATCGGCTAAAACGGACACCCTTCCCCCCTATTAGTCCGAATTAACGAGGGTCGACTGTATATATATATATATATATATATATATATATATATATATACAGTATAGTGATTTAAGGGTAATTTAGGGGAATTTTAGGAGTGTTTCTGACTTTATGCATTTTTGGCTTTACTTTGTATATACTTTTCTGTGAGCTGGAACCAATTACCCAATATTCCATTGAAACAATGGTTTCGGTTAATGAACGACCCTCTGGAACGAATTGAGTTCGTTAACCGAGGGACCACTGTACTGTGGCATCTACAGACAAAAATAGCCCCATAAATGCGAGGAGACTATACAATCCTATTTGTTAAAAAAAAAAGTTAAAGGGAAGCAAGGTAGCCCGCCCGCCCGCCCGCCCGCACGCACGCACTTTATTTTTACAAACACATTACTCAAACATCTTAAACTAGAACATGCATTCACCACTGTACCACTTTGGATATAAGCATAAACATTATCGATTACAGTATTTATTTTACATATCTGACAATACTGCAATCTACCGAGCTCCCAGGAATAGGCCTGGAATACAGTATTTTCATTCTTCCGAAGCCCATATAACTGGTGGTAGAATATGAAGGATAGCCCTGTATTTATATATGGGAATGACACAACACAAATCAGCTGGGCAGCCTGTATATACAGTACAGTATACGGAAATAATGGTGAAGAAAGGGTTAAAACAAGCAGAATAAAGCACCGATTGATTCGGAGATGCACAAGACTTGGCATTAGGCTGGAAAACTTACTTGTCAGTTTGGGTGCCTGTTCGATAGAGGAATGCACTAATCGCCATGCGCAATTCCTCACTGATATTTTCATGGCGTTTGCGTAAAAATCCTTCTGCTTCATCAATGAAGAGAACGAGACCTTTACGTGATGTTACTGCCCAATCAAATACCTGTATAAAAAAACATCTTTAACAAAGAGCTTCATTGTGCAAAGTTTTGGTTGAAGAAATTTGCTTCAACTGTATATTTTGAAATCCACATCTTGAATAATTTTATGGAGGATAAGGGAGAGACTACTTACATCCTTCCTCACTACTGTTAATCTTACACACTACAATATTGCCATTAGACAATGGAGGAAGGGAGAGAGACTGCCTTACATCCTTTCTCACTACCTGTACTGCTAACCCTACACACTTTATAAAGTTATGTAATAAAGTTATGCTACACTTGCACCCATGTCTTCTATCTTGTTACGTGTGTAGGTACATATGTTATGTTTCTTATCATTGGGTTTTGTTTTGTTTGGGGTTATATTATACAGTACTAGTAATTTTCATTGTTCCCTTCACTTACTAGAATATTCTTTTGTTCTCTTTCAGATGCCAAACTACCCTTGGTCAGTTATATGAACAATGAAGCCCAGAAAAAGGTCGACTCTAGTCTTCTTTTACCACAATTTATTGTTCATAACTGAAACCGAGTCATAATGGAGAAGTTCCTGAGGCCGGAACGTCGGGATGCTACGCCGAACTCTCCCACCGCTTCAAAGGAGTGGCGCCATTGGTTCCAGACCTTCAACACGTTCCTCACCTCCATTTCTGCTCTTGAGCCCGACAAGCTAGCCACTCTCTGCAACTTCGTCTCCCCATCTGTGTACGAATACATAGCCAACTGTGTCTCATACGACGCCGCCATCCTGGTTCTGCAAGACTTGTACATAAAGCCGAAGAACGAAGTATTCGCTTGTCATCTACTAGCTACCAGGAGGCAACACTCGGGTGAGAATTTGGACGAATATTTAAAGGAACTTCGTCAGCTCAGCAAGGACTGCAACTTCAAAGCTGTCACAGCAGAGGCGAACAGAGACGAATACAGTATATCCATAACGCTTTTATCAACGGTCTACTATCTCCTATGATGAGACAGCATCTCTTAGAAAACAAGACTCTCGATTTGGCTACAGCGTTCGACCAGGCTCATGGGCTCGATCTGGCTCAAAGAAACTCCGAGTCCTATCTTCGGTCTCAGGCTCCTGTGAACACTGCCGATGTTACTTCACCTGAGCAGCAGGTGTCTGAGGCGGGAAAGGGTGGCGTCTGTTTGCCGCACCGCACAGGAGAATATAAAAAATGGCACAAAATTAAAATTTTCGTTTTTAAAGGATATTTTATATATAAATAATTTTTTAGTAAAAAAAACGCGAATGATCAAAACCTCGATAAAAAACCCGCGAAAAACAAGGGATTACTGTATAGTGAAAAAAAAAAACTACAATAATTTCCACTCATAGGTTGCTGGTGTGTTATCCAGGTTGGATGTGAATAAGGGGCATGGATCGGACGGAATACCCTCTCATGTTCTGATGGAGTGTGCTGAAGCCCTGGCCCCTGTGCTTGCTCGCCTCTTTTGCCTTTGCCTCAAGACTCAAACTTTTCCTTTTTCTTGGGAGCATGCCTTGGTTCAGCCCATCCCAAAGAAGGGTGACCACTGACCATTCTAATCCCTCTAACTATCGCTTCATTGTCCTAACTTCATACCTCTCTAAAATTTTCGAAAATATCTTGAACTCCCATTTTCTCCGTCACCTTGAACGCCTTTCTCTTTTGTCGGATCACCAGTATGGCTTTCGTCAGGCGAGATCTACTGGTGATCTGCTCTCCTACTGCACCCATCTTTGGTCATCCTCTCTTAGGGATTATGGAGAAACTTTTGTCGTGGCCCTCGACATCTCCAAAGCATTTGACAGCGTATGGCACAAGTCTTTGCTATCTAAACTTCCCTCTTTTGGTTTCTCACTCCCACTTTGTTTTCTAATCTCTAGCTTCCTTGAGAACCGACCCATGGCAGTTGTTGTCGAGGGATTGATCTCTCGCTCTTTCTCTACCAAAAGTGGTGTCCCACAGAGTTCTGTTCTTTCACCTACTCTCTTCCTTCTTTTTATCAATAACTGACTTCACACAACTAATTCTATTCATTCTTAAGCTGATGATGCTACTCTTCACTCTTCTTCACATTTTCTCCTTCCTCCTAACTCTCAAACTAAATCTGTTTCTAGAGCTGATATCATTACTTCTATCAATGCAGATCTGTGCAGCATCTCTGAATGGGGAGGTACAAACTTGGTTAAGTTCAATAGTAATAAAACTCAATATTTACCAATTACACTTTGTAAATTAGACGATCTCCCACCAATTACATTTTAGGACACTATCATCCTGCCAAATTCTGAAATAAATATGTTAGGCCTCACCATTTCCTCCAATATGTCCTGGAAATCACACATCCTTAATATAACTAAAGCTGCCTCCCGATAGTTGGGAATGCTGTACAGATGCTGTAGCTACTTCACACCTGAGCAGTTGCTCCAAGTATATAAGGGATATATTCGTCCTAACTTGGAGTACTGCTCTCATATCTGGGGTGGCTCTTCTTCTGTCCAACTATTAGATAGGGTGAAATCAAAGGCATTTCGTCTTATTAACTCTCCTCCTTTAGTCGACAATCTCTCTTCCCTTTCTCTTTGCTGCAATGTTGCTTCACTCTCTCTCTTTTACAGGTACTTTAATGGGCAATGTTCGGTGGATTTGCCATCCTGTGTACCGCCGGCAAGGCCGTAGGCTCATAATACATGTCTTGTCCGCAGTGCCCATCGTTTCTCTGTGGATGTCGGTCACACGAGAATAACCTGTTATAGTACATCCTTCTTTCCTCACACAGCCAAACTGTGGAGTGCTCTGCCTACTTCTGTGTTTCCATACTTATACAATCTGTCTCACCTTAAAAAGCTGGTTTTCTGGCATCTTCGTGGTGTAGATTAACACAGTATAACCTTTTTCTTCTCTATATTCAATTTCTTTGTTCTTTTTTCTTCGCCCCCCAGGCCCTGTTGTGGGCTAATTCCCGTAAAAAAACAAAGCAATGGTTACTGGTGCGAATGAAACTGTTGGAATTCTGGAAGGCATTTAACATCAAAGACTGCCTTGACATTATAAAAATGTCTTGGGATGAAGTGAAACCTTCCACCATGAATGCTTGTTGGCACCAACTTTGGCCTGAAATTGCTCACGATTCAGGGGATTTCCAACCGTTGACAAGGAAACCTCAGAAATTCTGAAATTTGCAAAGGCATTTGGAGGTGAGGGTTTTGATGACATGCAGAAAGAGGAGGTGAATGAACTGGTGGACTCATTTTCAAGAACCAACAAATGAGGAGCTTGAAGAGCTTATAGCAGATGACAGTAAAAGTGATGATGATGCTCAAGTGGAATCTGTAAAACCTAAATTAACAATTAAGGTGACCTCTGAATTCCTCCTGAAAGCAAATGAACTTTTTGACATGAGTTTCAACAAAGATCCAATATTGGAAAGAAGTTTAAAATTCAAAAGGCCCATTGATGATACGGTGAACCCTCGAAGATCTGGACTAAAAGAGGACCGCCTGTCCGAATCTTCCGGCCAATGTACAAAATGTATAAAAACAATAAATAATTATATAAAAAACATCAAAAAATACATTAGATATTATCCTGAGCACTGGGGTTAGTTATACAAACTTTTTCTTGTGAAAAAGCCATAATTTTGAGCAACATATTACTGTACAGTCCTCAAATGTACTACACTAAAGGACTAAAAATGTTATATCTTGAGCAAACTATGTGATGTTTGTACTCAAATTAATCGCCATCTTGCAAGGATTCAAAGAATGTAAGTTACATTCTGCTAAGTTTAGTCTGTGACATTTTATAAGATAAAAACTTTAAGCCTAAGACCACCTTCACCATGGCTGGGAGGATGGGGGAGGGGGTGAGGTGAGATGTTGACAGCGGGTGGAGAAGGTTACTAAGTGAGCCTTTATCAGTTATATAGAAGGAGTTTTTTGCTTATAAAATGTCACTGAATTGACTTGGGAGAATATAACTTACATTGCTGAAATTCTTATAAGATAGTACAGTAATTAATTTGAGTACAAACATCCCATAGTTTGCACTAGACATAATTTTTTTTAGTAATTAACCTAGTACATTTGAGTACAGGTTTGCCCTTTGGACACTTATTTCTTTTACTTTTTTTCACAATATGAATTTAGGATGTAGGATGGTGTGTGCATGTAAATGAGTAAAAATAATGAGGAGTACGTATATATCAACAAATATGAGGTGAAAGTTGCCAGCTGGGAATTAAACCCCCTATTTACATTATTCTTATGGGGAAAATTGCCCCAATATTAGCAGTTTCATTAATTGAAATGACTTTTAGGAATACATCCCTTGCAATAACCGAGGTATTCCTGTATAGACAAACTTTGTTGTCCAGTAACCAAATGACAATACAGAACAGTATTTTTTGTTGTAACTTATTGGTATTATTTTTATATATTCCTCACATTTACTGGTCCTGTATATATTATTTTAAGAAAACTATGGCTATAGGAGGAAAATCCACAAAAAAATGATTTCCTAAATACTCCCTGCTGAAATGGCAGTGCATCATATATGCTATAAATTTCCTTAAATAACATCTGGTCTGCAGTAAAGCCTTGTTATCACTCCCAATATGGGACATGTGACTCAGCTTTTGAAGTAAAAATGACATGTCAAGGCAGAGACAACTGAACACATTTAATCACATGCATCATCAGGCAAGATCTAAAAATATTTTAAATTTGCAAACTTAGATTCTTAAAATAGCAACCAGCACTGTAGAGTGCTGGTTGCTATTTGATCAGACACCAGCTTTAATCACACTTAAAGCTGTCTCCTCCTCATCTTGTTCTAGTGGGTGTGGGGGGGGGGGATGGATATTGCACATTTGGATTAAGCCCCTTTATTGTAGCCAGGGGAGGTAAAGGACAGCCGATCAACTAGTTTCAGAAAGCGATCATAGAAGATATTGGAGGCTAACTGGAAAGGTTCTACTAATCCTTATTAAGTCAAGAGCTACCTGGTAAAGGCCATTATGCCAACAAATATTGAAACATGGACTAGCATACACAGTCAATGATCTTTTTTTTCTCTCATTTCCTTTGGGTTAACCTAACAGCTATTTCTTGAGACAGACAGACCGCTGTCATAATCTGCTGGGGTAAAAAAAAATCTTGATTGTTATCCTTTATACTTTAGTATGTAGTGGCAACCATAAGGTGGGATAACTTACCAAACTTTACGAACAACAGCTATTAACTCCTCAGCAAACTGTGACCACACATCCCCATTTCATGAGCAGAGTTAAGAGAATTAACAGTGTACAAATGAAGTATTCAATATGCTAACCTTGTGAATAGCACCAACTGATTCTCTGCCGAGCAGTGCAATATCTCCTCCAGTCATTATAGCATAGTCCATACCTGAGTGCATTGCAAGTTTCTGAAAACCACAAATACTGTATAAGAATATTATTAATCATTAAATTGGTTCATATGAAGAAAAGACAATATCCTTGATTCACTTGTAGAAAATATTTATCTAAAAAATTTAAATAAATATAACGAGATATATTTTGAAATGTCTAAAAAAATTAAAATTTTGAATTTGAATTGAATTTAAACAGTTTATTTTTAGCCAGAAAAACACAGATACAGAGTGGATAATAATAACAATATTAACATGGCTGAGCCAGTTGAGAACCTGAGCTCTCTTTGAGGCACCTGATATATACTGATGATAATGATGGGAAGTAGAAGTGGGGGTGGAGGAGAAGAGAGAAGAGAAGGAAGTGGGGATGGAGGAGAAATCACCTTTCATGGGACCCATGCTTGATGCAGTCATTTCACCAATAAAATTTTAAGTTCACTAGGTGTAATTCAAGATTATTTTATTTAAATCAACACTGCACTGTGCTATATATTATCAATATGTTAACTAAATTTCAGAATGACCAATAATTTCAATGTAAAAATGCAAAAATATTCATGACCCCAATAAAATAGATGTTCATTCCACTGTCAACAAAGCCAAACTGACGCCTGGTGGCTGAGTCAAGCTGCTGATGGGTGCACAAAAACTAGTTCCCTGTACTGCATATATTATCAATATGTTAACTAAATTTTAAAATGACTATTAATTTTAAAATAAAAAATGCAAAAATATTAAAGAGCACAACTTTCTTGATATTTACTCCACTGGAAACGAATGTAAACATAGAACAGATTACTGAATTGGCAGACTAGCCCATCAGCTGATGCTCACAACAAAACGTGTTGTTCGTAAGGATTTCATTAATCGAAGTTTTGTTCATTAACCAAATTGAAGATCCTTATGGGAGGTAATTCGTTAACCGAAATTTCATTAATCGAACCGTTCGTTAACCGAGGGACCACTGTACAGGTAAAATAAATAATTGTCCTGAGGGCAAACACATAAAAGGGAATATAAATTTCTTTGTACACATGTAAAATTGTCCCCCCAAATGTTATTTGCGGGGATTAAGCGATTCACGGCCATTTTGAAAACCTAACCCCCATGAATTTGAAAGGTAAATGTATGCATGTATGTATGTATGTATGTATGTATGTATGTATGTGTGTGTGTAATAATAATAATAATAATAATAATAATAATAATAATAATAATAATAATAATAATAAACGGTTTATTAATAGAGTTGCAGCCGGTGGCTGAAAATATACAGACTTACATTTGATTTGTGTATGTGTGTGTGTGTGTGTGTGTGTTTAATAATAATAATTGAAGGTTTATTGAAAAAGTCGGCAGCCCAAAGGCTGAAAATATACAGTGGACAAAAATGACTTATTATATACAAAGACATGGGGTGGGTGGGTCGTTTAACAAAAGCTTTCATTACTGAAAGAAGAAGGAACAATGATTGAACATAAAAATTATTAGAGTTTACAGTTGATGGCCCAGGCCTGGGCTGGTCATGGAGATACCAGGTAGTGTGGTGTTCCCGTGGTGTAGTAACTCGTCCTCGGGTGTTGAAATGAAGGACCTCACGTGGTCATGGAGACACTGGGTGGTGTGGTGTTCACGTGGTGTAGTAACTCGCCCTCGGGTGTTGAAATGAAGGACCTCACATGGTCATGGAGACACTGGGTGGTGTGGTGTGGTTTTCACGTGGTATAGTAACTCGTCCTCAGGTGTTGATATGAAGGACCTCACGTGATCGTGGGGACAGAGTGTGTGTGTGTGTGTGTCCATAGAGAGACCTAATCAGACAAGAATAAATAGATAGAACAGACAGCAGAGGAGGATCCAGGAATAACAAAAGGAGGGGGTCCAAAAAGTTGTAGATAGGGGAACATGGTGAGCAAAGCTAGCCCACCCCTCCAGATTTTTTTTTGAAATCTGACCGATATCTTGGGCATTTTGAAGCCATGTGCACTTGATATTAGGAGATATTCTGAGGTCAATAGTAATTACTTTTTATAATGAAAAATACCTGAGTACAATACTGCATTAAAGAAAAGTATTGGAATTTTTTGATGAAAAGGGGGGGGGGGTCCAGACGACCCACAGGACTCACCCTGGACAGCCAGGCATGAAGGATGAGGTACTGTGGAGAGCAAATGCGTGTCAACAATGAAGAGACCTTTACCTTTGACCCATGTGACCACCACCCGTCACCCCACTTGGACTTACGCCAGCATGTAGCCCTAACAAGACATGCAGGATTCAATGAAGTGGAGGTGGGAGATGTTGAGGGGTTGCTGGAATCACATAAGGAGGAACTTTCAACAACTGGCTGCTGAGGCAATTGCAGAATGTGAGGATGATATAAATGATCCTGAAGAACCACCACTCTGTGAACTCAAAACAGCTGTTCTGTCTTCAGTTTTGCAAGATATTGAGGGTGGCTTGCAAAAAGTTGGAAAACAACGACTACAACTCTGAGCGCTGTGTGACGATTGTCCAAGAAGTAAAGGCTCGGCCGATACCTTATTCTGAACTCAACGAAAAGAGAAAAGCAGTAACATAGAAAAAGTCAATCAATATTTTGTTTGAGATCAACAAAATACTCCTGCAGAACCAGTGGCATCAACAGGTTGTCCAGCATTTTTTCGTGCACGAGTTCCTCCTCCATCATCTTCCTGACCATCATCGATAGATTGACTCCACCTACAGTGTTTCTCACTTACTGAATGTACAGTACAGTATATGTAACTGCAATCTTTTTTATGTCTTAACACTGCTTTAAAACTGTATTCTTGGCTGATTGTGTCCTGCACAACACAAATTGTAAGAAAAAACAGCAGCTAGCAAGGGAACAACCTTCTACAATGGCAGCAGAATGTTTTCTAGTTGAAATTAAGGAATGAAGGCACTGAAAGGGCAAAAAAGGGGGACTTTGGCAGGAGCACCAGAACAAAAAGTACCTTTAACATATAAACATATATGGTGAGTTCCTCAATTCAGTAGTTCTGCGCGGGTCCTCAGACAAAAGCAATTGCAAAACTCGTGAGGCCATTATACATATTTTAGGCAAAAATATATACAGTACAATATATTATTAAGTAGTTTGGTAAAGGGAAGATTTATTGTAATAATAATTTAAAAGAACATTTGTACTGACCTTGGCAAAGAGGGTCTTGCCTGTGCCTGGTGGTCCATGAAGGAGGATGTTACGGTACATGCCTCTATTGTACTTGGTATTTTTGGTCGCTATGGCAATGTCTCTGAAAATAAGGATAATATCATAAATATTTATAGGTCTAAAAAACTTTTTTAAAATATCAGTACCGGGCATGTTCACTCGGAACTGTCCAGTACAGGGATTGTTTACATCCTGTGCACCAGATCAGCTGACGTTTGTATAGTCACTAGCACAACTATCACTGTGTGGACCTAATGTCCATTAAGTGTTACTTCATGTTTATGTTTATTTATTTATGCTATTTCATATTTATTATATTGTCTTATGCATACATAATGTTGTTATACAGTACATGTGCATATAGTTATTTATATTATGTATTTTGCACACTCCTGGGACTGGCATGAAAATCTCTCAGAGTTTACTCTCTTACGGGGTCCATTACAGTGGAGTCTGCATTTACGCGGTCAATTGAACCCGCGGAGGCCCGCGTAAAACGAGAAACGCGTAAATGAAATAACAGAACATATGGGATTAATTGAAATAGAGACTAGGCCGACCCCCAAACTCCACTTTTTCCGACACAATACCTACGTTGTAGTAAAAATAACATCTTAATTTTATGATGGTATGCACACACAATTAATATTTAAGAGAAATACAGTCGCCCGGTGTCCATTCAAATAATGGACTCAACTCCCTCCCACCCCCCCTCTTCCCACGCTTGCTGGCTCCTCCCTCTCTGAGAAATGTTTGGGTGAAAATGCTAGATTTTAAGGTATAGTAATAAATAATACCTCAGACTAAAGTTTGGATAATATAATTGACATTGCTGAATGCCTTGCAGGACAGGGAATATTTTAAATGTAAACGTCATATATTTTGCACAAAAGATAAAATGTTTGCTAATTTTCATCATCTCCTTACATTACATCTAAAATTTGTATGTCTAATGCAAATGTTAAAATGTTTATATTTTAAATGATCACCATCTTGTAAGGATTCCAGCAATGTAAATTATATATTTTATGAGCTAAAAACACATATTCTCTTCAGTAAATAAACAAATTATACTTCACCCAAGTAAATGATGAAATTTACTGCGTAATTAAAACATTTCATTCTGGCTAGGTGCCGCGTAAATGACCAAACGCGTAAACAAAAACTGCGTAAATCCAGACTGAACTGTATACCTAATCCCAATGAGCTTTAAGGAAATAATATAATACTGTATAATATAATATAATGTAATATAATATAATATAATATAATATAATATAATGTAATATAAAACTAGTGTGCCATATCTTCTACAGAACCCATAATTGGGAACCTTTCCCACAAAAAATTAATTATGGGTAGAAATAGGGTCGCTGCATAAACACAAATTCACATAAAGCAAGTGTCCAGTAAAACCTTGATAAATCGGACTTCAATATATCGGAATTCTGTGGCATTGGAGAGTTTGTGTTGGTGGTGTTGGAGACTGTGTGTTGGTGGTGCTGGAGGGTTTGTGCTTTCTTCTTCTTTTTTAGGGGGATAGCCCACCCGGGCATCGGAGCCTAGTGGGCAAAAAAATAAGAATAAAAAGAAATTCAAAATAGAAAAGGAAAAGGTTATATTTATCTAACCACGAAGATGCCGGAAAACCAGCTTTTTAAAGTGAGACATTGTTTGAATGTGGAAACACAGAAAGCAGAACATTCCACAGTTTGGCTGTGTGACGAAAGAAGGATGTACTATAACGGGTTATTCTAGTGTGACCAACATCCACAGAGAAATGGTGGGCACTGCGGGCAAGACGTGTGTTACGAGCCCATGGCCTCGCCGGCTGTATGCAGGATGCCAAATCCACCGAAAATTGCCTGTTTAAGTACCTGTAAAAGAGAGAGAGTGAAGCAACAATGTGGCATAAAGAAAGGGAAGAAAGATTGTCAAGTAAAGGAGGAGAGTTAATAAGATGAAATGCCTTTGATTCCACCCAATCTAATAGTTGGACAGAAGAAGAGCCAACCCAGATATGAGAACAGTACTCCAAGTTAGGAAGAATGAATCCCTTATATACTTGAAGCCATTGCAGCATCTGTACAGCATTCCCAGCTTTCGAGAGGCAGCTTTAGCAATGTTGAGGATGTCTGGCTTCCCTGACATATTAGAGGAAATGGTGAGACCTAGCATAACTATTTTAATATTTGGCAGAATGATATTGTCCTGAAATGTGATTGGTAGGAAATCATCTGATTTGGAAAGTGTAATTGGTAAATACCGTGTTTTATTACTTTTGAATTTAACCAAGTTTCTACCCCCCCCATTCAGAGATGCTGCACAGATCTGCATTGATATATGTAATGATATCAACTCTAGAAACAGATCTAGTTTGAGAATCAGGGGGAAGGGAAAATGTGAAGAAGAGTAAAGAGTAGAATCATCAGTGTAAGAATGGATAGAATTAGGAAGGAAGAGAGTAGGTGAAAGAACAGAACCCTGTGGGACACCACTATTGGTAGAGAAAGAGCGAGAGGTCGATCCCTTGACAACAACTGCCATGGATCAGTTCTCAAGGAAGCTAGAGATTAGAGAACAAAGTGGGTGAGAGAAACCATAAGAGGGAAGTTTAGAAAGCAAAGACTTGTGCCATACCCTGTCAAATGCTTTGAAGATGTCGAGGGCCACGACGAAAGTTTCTCCATAATCCCTAAGAGAGGATGAACAAAGATGGGTGCAGTAGGAGAGCAGATCACCAGTAGATCTCGCCTGGCGAAAGCCATACTGGTGATCCGACAAAAGAGAAAGGCGCTCAAGGTGACGGAGAAAATGGGAGTTCAAGATATTTTCGAAAATTTTAGAGAGGTATGAAGTTAGGACAATGAAGCGATAGTTAGAGGGATTAGAATGGTCACCCTTCTTTGGGATGGGCTGAAGCAAGGCATGCTCCCAAGAAAAAGGAAAAGTTTGAGTCTTGAGGCAAAGGCAAAAGAGGCGAGCAAGCACAGGGGCCAGAACTTCAGCACACTCCATCAGAACATGAGAGGGTATTCCGTCCGATCCATGCCCCTTATTCACATCCAACCTGGATAACACACCAGCAACCTATGAGTGGAGATTATAAGAAAGTGGATAGGTTCAGTAGAAGGAGCAGGGGTAGGAGGGATAGAGTTGGAAACATCTAAGGTGGAGTTAAAGGAAAATAAGGTGCCAAAGAGATTATAAAAAAAAACTACGCCTTGCGCACGGAGGTTGTGTTGGAGGTTGTGTGTTGGTGGTGTTGGAGGGTATGTGTTGGTGGTGTTGGAGGGTATGTGTTGGTGGTGTTGGAGGGTGTGTGTTGGTGGTGTTGGAGGGTGTGTGTTGGTGGTGTTGGAGGGTGTGTGAGATGGTGTTGGAGGGTGTGTGAGATGGTGTTGGAGGATGTGTTGTGGTGTTGGGGTGTGTGTTGGTGGTGTTGGAGGGTGTGTGTTGGTGGTGTTGGAGGGTGTGTGTTGGTGGTGTTGGAGGGTGTGTGTTGGGTGGTGTTGGAGGGTGTGTGTTGGAGGGTGTGTGTTGGTGGTGTTGGAGGGTGTGTGTGGGTGTGTTGGGGGTGTGTGGTGGTGTTGGGGTGTGTGTTGGGGTTGTGTGTTGGTGTTGGAGGGTGTGTGTTGGTGGTGTTGGAGGGTGTGTGTTGTGGTGGTGTGGAGGGTGTGTGTTGGAGGTGGTGTTGGAGGGTGTGTGTGGTGCTAGAGTGTATGTGTTGGTGGTGCTGAGGGTGTAAGGTCGTGTTGGAGGGCATGTGTTGTGTGGTGTTGAGGGCATGTGTGTTGGTGGGAAATGGAGGTGTATAGAGGGCATGTGTCAGTGGTGCTGGAGAATGTGTTGAGTCGTGTCGGAGGGCATGTGTTGGTGGTGTTGGAGGTGTATAGGGGGCATGTGTCAGTGGTGCTGGAGAATGTGTGTTGGTGGTGTTGGAGGGCATGTGTGTTGGTGGTGTTGGAGGGTGTATAGAGGGCATGTGTCAGTGGTGCTGGAGAATGTGTGTTGGTGGTGTTGGAGGGCATGTGTGTTGGTGGTGTTGGAGGGTGTATAAAGGGCATGTGTCAGTGGTGCTGGAGAATGTGTGTTGGTGGTGTTGGAGGGCATGTGTGTTGGTGGTGTTGGAGGGTGTATAGAGGGCATGTGTCAGTGGTGCTGGAGAATGTGTGTTGGTGGTGTTGGAGGGCATGTGTGTTGGTGGTGTTGGAGGGTGTCTTTATTCTAGACATCCTCAGGTCATGAGACCCACTAATCCTACCCAAGTAAGGGTGACCATCAGAAGGTCAGTGTTAAGAGACCAGTAATCCCCCACCCTACCTCCACCTGACATTGAGTCAGGTCAGATCAGGTTTTGGCTAATGGGGATATTACTTTTTTAGTTGACTGAGATGAAGACCTAGAAAGAGCAGTGAACAACAAACCTGGTGGCGGCAGGACACAGACTGAGTGGATGTAAACAAACCTCATACGTTAAACGGCGGGTGCGGAATTTAACGGAATCACGCTCGATTGAGCGGAGTGAAAATAACGGAAACTCAATTTAGCAGAAATTTTATTTATCGAAAAAGGGTGGCATGAATTAGTTCGTTAAATCAAGAAAATACTGCTTTTTTTTTCTTTCTTTTTACACTTTACGGACTGGGGTCTGCCACAATTAGTCCGATTTATCAAGGTTCTACAATTAAATATCATCTTCAACTGTCAGCTGGAGGTAGCAAAGGATTGTGTCTACATGATCCTGGTCTGTTAACCAACACTGTAATTTCAGAATGTAAGTCTGATTAATAAGCCTAGAAGTTGGAGTACTACTGAAACAGGAGGATTATTCAGTAGTGGCCATAACAAAATATATATATATATATATATATATATATATATATATATATATATATATATATATATATATATATATATATATATATATATATATATATATATATATATATATATATATATATATATACATACACACACATACACAGAGGACTCTTACCTCACTCTTTCTTCAACACGAGGATTAAGAACAACACCCTCTAAAATATCTTCAGGTTTCTTTTGAATTTTCTTTATAGTTTGTACTGGATGACGTAAAGCTTCAAATGGACTAAATCTTGATGTCTCACGAACCAGAGAAGGTTTTGCTGTTGACAAAGATATTTCATAAAAAATATATGAGTGATAAAAAGTTACCCATACCAACACTGACATAAAAATATTCTGACATTTAATTACAAACATACACACTTCTTAGCCTTCTTACCTAGTCTGGCTTCCACAAATCTAAATATAATGCCTAATGAGCCTTTGGCAGCAAAATATCCTGCAGTAAGAGCAACTAATCCCCCAACTGCTGCCTGAATCTTGGCTGGCTCACTCAAGAAGGCATTTAAGCCAGTTCCAATTGCTGTACCCGCTGTTCTGTACAAAAGTAAAAATGAAAAATTCAGTGTAAAATAAATTCAGTCTAACATATTTCTTATGTTTTGAATAACAATGAGTTGTGGCATAATACAAGTTGGAAATTCCTATACTGCCTTTGAGACATCAAATACCAATAACATATAACTTTCTGCAAACAGTGGAATACAAAAACCAGACTTACTTTATAGATGACAGGACAGTTTCTCGCTTTTCTATCAATGATTTCAAGGTAGTTTCCCGATCCTCAGCTGCACGTACTCGTATTTGTTCGAGTGTTAAGTCTTGGTTTTCTCGTTCTATCTTTGCTCTGCTTCCCATCTCTGCTTCCAAACGCTTCATGTCATACTTATGCCGCTGTTCAAGTTCATGTTCAACGGTGGCTGATAAAAGTGAAAAGAATATTACCTATCTTAGGTAAAGATTTGAAAAAGGACAACTTAGGTATTCTACTGTATATTGATTTGAATATAGGAATACCTCACTATTAATAACCCCATTTATCTGTAATTTATATTTTAACACCCCTATTCGATATTTGCAAAGCATACCCTGTTCATTCGCAAATGAAAAATTATGATACCCTACGGTAATATTTAAACTGGGTGGGCTAGTCGCAGGTCTCATATTCCATGTAAGGCCCATTTCACACAAGCATTTTTTCTGTGGGTACGGACCTGCACGGTTTGAAATTAATGAAGTTCAACGGGACCATTCACATGGAGCACAAGTCTGAAAATTAACAAGTGGAAGACGCTCACCTCAGCCTGTACCTGTAGAGTACTTCCAAAACACGGTGTGAAAAAATTTGCCAAGCATTCTAGAATTCTTACGCAGGCGCAAGCGTGTGCGCACACACACACACAGTGTTCTTTTGCATTGTTTTATGTTATTGTAATTATTTTATTGCATTATATGGAGTTACCTGTACAGGTAAACCTTTATATATTTGCGATGGGGTTATGTTCCTGAAAACCCAATCGCAGGTCAAAATATCGTAAATCAGGCTCATTATAACACTACTAGAACTACAACACAATTAAACAACCTTCACCACACCATAATGAACAAGTCTGGTCGTCATAACATGTCCCCTTCGAGGCTACGGGGACTCTTTTAATTTAAGGTGGAGTGAAGACAGCAACCTGAGTCCCACACAGAATTTAGGGAGTCTGAGGAGTGGGGACTGGAAGTGCAGACTTTATCTTGGCCTTAAATATGGTGAGCAAAATGCTTGCTCCACCAGGATGGCTGGTGGAGGAATAATGAGGAGTAGCAAGATGTGCCTGCCTCATCCATATGGACCACCACTACAAGAAAAGTCTGAGGACTGAGAATTGGTGACATTGAGTTGTGTGAGGGAACTGAATTCAATACAGTAGGGTCGGGATATATAGCGACTTGATATAACGAATTTTTTATATCGAGGCTACCAAAATTATCAAAATTTTCCTAAATATAGTGATATGTATATTTTTTTCTCACGAGGGAAATCTGACAGGAAAATTTTCAAATTTATCACTACTACCAAAATTATTGAAATTTTACAATATACAGTAGACTCTCAACTTACGTGAGAGTTACGTTCCTGGGACCTCGTGTAAAGATGAGAAACACTCCTAAATCACTATACAGTACATTCATGCGCTGGTTAACGTCCTAGATACGTTCTTGGAAACGTGACGTTAACCGAAATGGACGTTGTCCAATCATCACATAAACTTTGTCTTTATACTTATGTGTAAGTGGAATACTATATACATACATATACACTCTTACTCTTAAATCACTACTGTAATGTGATACAGGTGATTAACTTTTATCTCTTCTGCAAAATACATGATGTTTATATTAAAATTATTCACTGTTTTACAAGGATTCCAGCAATGCTGGGCAGATGGGGGAGAGGGAGGGAGGGAGGGAGGGAGGAGGGAGGGAGGAGGGAGGGAGGGAGGGAGGGAGGGAGGGAGGGAGGGAGGGAGGGAGGGAGGAGGGAGGGAGGAGGAGGGAGGAGGGAGGGAGGGAGGGAGGAGGGAGGAGGAGGGAGGGAGGGAGGGAGGGAGGGAGGGAGCGTGGGGGAGAGGTTAGCAGGAGGCGAGGTAGTACGTTTGACAGTTTGCGCCCAAGGTCTAATGCTTGTTTATTTATCAGTTCTTAAGTGACTAAGCTTCTCTCTTATAAAAAGCCAGTGAAATAACCTGGGTGAATATAATTTACATTGCTGGGATTCTTGTAACATACTGATTAATTTAAATATAAACAACCTATAATTTGCACTAGACAAAACAATTTTAGTACCGTAATCAAATTAGTACATGTGCACTCCAGCTTTGCACTAACGTCATTTATTTCTTTTACGTTTCTTTTAGTATGGTGTGTGCATGTAAATGGATGAAAATAAATGAAGAAATCTATGTAAATCTACCCAAAAATACAGTTGAAAAACTTTTTTATAAAATGTACTACAGTACTGTACACTAATGTACAAAAATTTTTATCTCTTGAGCAAAATATATGACGTTTATATTCAAATTATTGGCTGTCTTGCAAGGATTCCAGCAATGCAAATTATAATCTCCTAACTTTAGTCTGAGATATTATATAAGATAAAAACTGTAAGCCTAAAACCCTGGCTGGGCAGGGGGGGAGGGAGGGAGGGAGGAGAGGAGGGAGGAGGAGGCAGCCAGCAAGCGTGGGTGGGGGAGGGGGGGGGGGGAGGAGGTGATAAGTTTGAGGTGAAGGTCTCTGTGTGTTTATTTTAAAATGCCAGTGAAATGATCTGGGAGAATATAATTAACATTGCTGGAATTCTCACAAGACAGCGACCAATTTGAATATACTGTAAACAAGCTATAATTTGCATTAGACATACAAATTTTAGATCTAATTTAAGAATTTTATTACAGAGACAAAATGTAGAAGAAGAACCTGCACCCCCCAAAAAATATTCAGTGAAACAAATGGCAGAGGCATTTGCTACTATTAATAAGGGGATGCAAACGTTTGACGAAATGGATCAAAATGTTGAGCTTTTTGCAAAAGTTGACAGAATGATCCAAGAAGCACTTGCTTGCTACAAGGAGATTTACAATGAAAAGAAAAGGCAAACTATGCAGTCTAAATTAGACATATATTTTAAGAAGTCCCCCACTGTTGTCTCCTCACGCCCCACCACTGCTGCCTCTTCACTCCCTAAAGATGATCCAATACCTTCAACAAGCAAGTATGTTAACATGTCTGAAGAAAATGAACTTGATGACCCACCCAGCCCTGTCTCCTCCTCTGCTTCATCCAATTAATGTAGTCTCCATGTTTAATAAAAAAATTATTGAGACCCCGTGTACATTCACCTGACTACATTAAAGGTAAGTGCACAATAACACTCTATTCATTTTTCATTATTGATTACTTTTACTGTACAGTATTTCATTTTAGATTTTCTATGTATTATTTTCGCATTTTCGACTTACAAACTGGTCGTCGGTCCCTAACCCCGTCGTAAGTCGGGGAGGGGACTGACTGTATCAAGGGAGAAGAGATATACTAGACTGTACCTAGTAATACAAAAGCATGGAAGCTTTTCTATTGTGGGATTAGCTTCAGAGGGGATCTCCCTAAAGTGAAGGGGAAAAAAATACAAGTAAAACAGTGATATACAAACCTTTCCTCATGGCTTCTTGTTTGGCTACAGATTCTTCTTGCCTCTTTATGTTTTCATCATTCACCCTCTGCTGCTGGACCAACTGGTCATCATACCTGTAGAGTCAAGTATTGTATATCAGTAAAGATTGAATGATTGTGGTACTTACATCCCAGGCAATGCAACAGCTTAAGTCATGTGCTACTAAATTAAAATAAAAGTTTAGAAGGCTAAAAAGAAAGAAAAAAATATGCAAAGGTAAGAAACATAAAAAAACATTGAAATGTTAATAGATAAAACTCAAAGCTTGTGTAGAAGGCTGACTTCCTCCATGAAGGAGAAGATGCCCCCCCCCCACAACACTAAAGAGATATTGTAAGACCCTCCCCTCCCCTGGCACTTGGGAGAGGCGATAACGACAAAGAATTATAAAATTGGGGCACTCCAAGAGATGTTGAACAATCAATGGGACCAGGGAGTCATCACAATGCGGAGGGGATGTTCTCTCCATTAAAAATCCATGAGTCAGCCATGTATGGCCAATGAGGAGGTGGGCCAAAGCAGTCTCACAGCGGCATGACACCCCCTGATATCCCCAGGCACTCAAATCTGGGTAAATGTCGTGGAGGCTGTTTGCTCCAACAGCATCCCACCTGCATTGCCAATTCAAGTGGATGGTAGTTCTTATTGCCAGTTTCATTTCAGAGGCAGGTGGAGGGGAACAACTTGCCACAGGGTAAGAAGTAGATGCTTTCATCACAGCATCAGCACACTCACTCCCCTTCTCCTCCACATGGGCCGGAACTCAGCAAAAACTTACTTTCCGGTCCCGATGTTGGATGAGAAACAGCCACTGTAAAATATTGATAACTAAAGGATTTGGCGATGAGACACTACAGGGTGTAGCTAAGGCCTGGAGAGCACTACAAAAATCACTATAAATTTTAAAATTGTTATGAGGTTTGGTAAAGATAATCTTGAGGGCAAGTAAAATACCAGAAAGCTCTGCAGTAAAAATACATGCCATAGCGGGGAGACTATAATCCAGACAGAAATCGGGAAAGACCACCCCAAAGCCCAACCCTGCATCCGATTAGAGCCGTCAATGTATACAGGAATAGTCCCTCTGTGAGAGGAAACAAGTTGTAAAAAAAAGAGAATGGACCACACAAGGAAGGAGTAGGTCCTTACTTTCATTAAAATACTGACAAACTTGAACTTCACGGAGAATCCACAGATCGGCACTAGTGAGCCACATGGGGCATATCTGAACAGGAGAAAGACAAAGAATTCTCATAACTTCCCTTACCCTGAAGCCAAATGGGTGTGGGAGGCTTGGATGCTAAGTGTAGAGTGGGAACATAGTCTCATCAACTAAACAAGTGTTTGTTACACTGCGAAAGGTGGTGAAGGCGAAACCAACACTAGGCCTTTTAACACTGGTGTTGAATAACAGGGGGCGGCTCACCAGCATCAACCAGTAGACTCGGGATTGGTGAGGACCTAAAGGCACCGGTTGCCAGGCACACCCCAGCATGATGAATAGAGTTCAGTGTATCGAGTCTAGCCTCAGTGGTTGAGGAGTACACCTCACGCCCATAATCCAGTTTGGGTCTAAATAGCATGTGGTAAAGGTGTAGCAGAGTTCCTCAGTCAGCACCTCACAACATATGCTCCAAGACTCTCAATAACTTGAGAGCACGCTGGCAAGACGTTTTGAGGTAACATATAAGTGGCTGCCATATAAGTCGGTTATCGAAGATAATGCCCATAGAGATGTAGATCAGGATCTGTATAAACACCTCGAAGGTGGCAGAAATGCATGACGATGGTCTTCAAGGGAGAAAATCTGAAGCTATGCTCTGTGGTCCAACGAGAAACCTTGTCTAGTGCAATGATATTGATACACCACCTGGAACCGATGCTAATACCCCATTTATTGTGAGGGCGAACAGGGTCACACTCAAGACGCTGCCCTGAGGAACCCCATCCTCATGAATATGTGGTGCTGACATTTCTGTGGCAACGCGGACACTGTAGATGAGATGCTGGCGACCAAAAAAGGCCTCACAGACCAAGAACTCAAGACGAACAAAGCATCTATTGTTGAATGCATCTTCTGGAAGCCAGATTGATAGGGTCAAGGAAGAGCATTGTTCTGCAGGTAGTATACTAATTGCAAATTAAACATCTTTTTCAAACAGCTTGCAGATACAGGAGGTCAGAACTATGGGGTGATATTCTAAAGGGTGAAGACCCTCTTTTCTAGTCTTCTTGAAAGGCAGGACAGTAGCCTCCTGCCATGAGGACAAGAAGGGACCCTCGCACTAGATCCTGTTATATAGCTACAATAGAAAGGTTTGTGCCTCAACTTCTGCGCACATTTCTATACCTGGGACAAGGGAGTTTTTCATTTAGAGACGAGACATAAGAGGAAAAGGACTAGTGGCAGGCTTTCTTTAAGACTCGACGAGCTTGGGCTCTGGACCTTTTGTATTTCACATGATAAAATTCTGTCCTATGATGCCAGTAGCCAACCATAGACTCTGCACCATTCAACAACTGCCTGCCTGCTTCCCTCCGACCACCAAGGAACAGGTCGGCAAGCTACAGGACTAGATGTCTGAGGAATGGAACAGTGACCAGACTATCGGAGGAGGGTAGCTAAGTACAGTGGTCCCTCGCTTAACGAACGGTTCGCTTAACGAAATTTCGGTTAACGAATTACCTCCCAAAAGGATCTTCAATTCCGTTAACGAACAAAACTTCAAATAACGAGATCCTTACGAACAACAAGTTTTGCTGTGAGCTTCAGCTGATGGGGTAGTCTGCCAATTCAGTAATACTGGTCTGCTTACATTCGTTTCCAGTGGAGTAAATATCAAGAAAGTTGTGCTCTTTAATACTTTTGCATTTGTTATATTAAAATTATTAGTAATTTTAAAATTAGTTAACATATTGATAATATATGCAGTACAGGGAACTAGTTTGTTGTGCGTCCATCAGCTGCTTGACTCAGCCACCAGGCGTCAGTTAGGCTTTGTTGACAGTGGAGTGAACATCGATTTTGTTGGTGTCTTGAATATTTTTGCATTTTTACATTGAAATTATTGGTCATTCTGAAATTATTGAACATATTGATACTGTATAAGTTTTCTTATATTTTGACTTACAATGTTTCTTTAGATCAGTGTTATTTAGTTTTGGTTGTTAAAACATTATGTGAGAGCCATATTCTGCTGCATAGGGTATAAGGTGTAAAACTTTTGATGTATTGTGTTAGGATTAGTTGGCAACCGAACCATATTTGTGTGGTGATGGTCACGGGAGAGCAGCGTGAGCCACCGACTGAACCGGACAGCACGGAGAACCAGGAACTCCAGGCCTGGTATACACACGCCGACGTGGGGTACAAGATAGCCACCGAGTTGTGTGTGAAGTAATTGGAGATATTTGGACATGAAAACTTGCTCTGTGAATGTAAATAGTGTAATATAAGTAATTTTTACATGACGAGTTTCCATAAGCCCTTTCTCTTGGTCTGAAAGTCCCGTGACAACTGACAGTTGGGACAAGTGTTTTTTGGTGAAAAGTATAAAAGGAAAAACTTCTTCATGTGTTACGAGCTCACACTATGCAGGGGAAGGGGGCAGCGAGGGATCTCAGCTGCTCTGAGCTGTCAGCCTGTCTCCCGTGTATAGTGAACCGATTGACAAATTTCGTCGTCCAGCAGCCAAATGAGAATATAGTGTTCGTTTCTTTTTATTAGTATTATTTTGATTGATTCCTCACATTAACTGGTAGTATATATTATTTTATCCTATTCCTCACAGGATCTGGTAACTGGCAGGAATTCAGTTTCAGAGTTGGTAACACTGTTCGTAGCGTCAACTGTAGAGCTGGTGGCCAAGGCCATGACATGGTGTGAATCTGGTGTATTTCTACAAAGTATTTCTCATATTATACAAGAGATATATGAAAAACTCAGGATTTCTTACCCCAAAATTCAGGGGTCGAACTCTATATGAGATCAGTTTATACACAAGCATTTTTGGTAAACAAGTTAAATTTTTGGTAAATTTGGGAAGTAACTTTAGCCGTGATGGTTGATGTGTGAAAGAAATCATAATACGAATAGGTCGAGCAAAAACAGCTTTTAATAATCTAAAGGACAAAATAAAAAGAGACATTAACTTCAATTTGAGAAAAGGGCTGCTGAAAGGATATATATGGCAAGGACTGTTGCATGGCTCAGAAACGTGAACACTTTCAGCAGACACCAGAAAGAGGTTGGAAGCCTTTGAAATGTGGCATAATAGGCGTATGTTTAAGAATATGTTACAAGGCCAGAAAAACAAATGAAAAAATACTAAGGTTAGCAAATACTTCAAGAGAAATACTTGAAATATACAGAAAAAGAAAAATGAGATACCTTGGTCATATAACTAGAGATGAGTGGATAATAGCAGAAGTATTAATGGACAAAATTAAGGGTATGAGGGCCAGGGGAAGGCAGAGACTGGGATGTATGAATGAAATTAAAAACTGGGTCCCCAGAGATACAAAATCTTGGAAGACTGGTAAAAACAGCCCAAAAACATTGAAAGTAGAGGACTGTGGTCATCAACCCTCAGATATGAGAACGGTGCTCCGATTGATTGAACGATTGAAATAATGAACCACCCCCAGGTTAAGAACCACTGATTGTAAAGAGTATTGAGTGGCCCTAACCTCAAGTGCTTGGAAACAAGCAGTTTCTGCATGTTAAACAGCTTTATGCAGCAGTCTTACTCCTCAAGGGTTATAATATTGCACATAATGTCATTCTTATTTCACACAAAAAATTTCTCAATCCGATCCTTCAGGTTTATCAATTTATTACACTGTGACTAACCGTTTGCGAGCAAGCTGGTCTTGGTATTGTGCTTTCTGATGATCCAATTTAGACTGTTCTTGCAGTGTTTTCCGCCTCTCTTCCTGTTCAATTCGTTTTCCTTCCGCCTTTGCTCCTTCTATTCGTAACTGAAAGGGAAATATTCAATGAAAACTTCAGATGAACTGTATATACCAGTACAGTAAAGCCTCAAATAACGACGGTAATGTGTCCTCCAATATTGCACTGAATCATTAATTATTATTAAAATAAAGGCGGGGAGGAGGAGATGTATGTGTTGGGGTGTGTGTGTGTGTGTGTTGGGGGGTGTGTTGGTGGGTGTGTTGGTGTGTGTGTGTGTGTGTGTGTGTGTGTGTGTGTGTGGGGGTGGGTGGGTGGGTGGGTGGGTGGGTGGGTGGGTGTGTGTGTGTGTGTGTGTGTGTGTGTGTGGGTGTGTGTGTGTGTGTGTGTGTGTGGGTGGGTGGGTGGGTGTGTGTGTGTGTGTGTGTGTGTGTGTGTGTGTGTGTGTGTGTGTGTGTGTGTCAATGACCTTGTAACAGCACCATTTGCTTTATATAAATATTCACCCAAATGTAGAATACCGAATTTTTCACTAATATATTCATCAATGACTCAGTAGTTGTTCATGTTATACATGCCGAGTCTATAAATTCATCAGGAGTTGAGCGAGGTCAAGTTTACTAATCACAGCAGCCGCCTGCCGGCTTGCACTCCCACACTCATAGAGACAGGAGAGAGATCAGACTCCTCCCACTAGTAACACCTCACTTAAGTATACTCAATACACTTCCCCTGGAAGAGAATTCACAACCGAACTAAGTACCTGTATATATATATATATATATATATATATGTATAATCACTTCAGAAATAAAGCAAAACCAGAATAAGTGTTTACATCAACCCTGCCACTTAAGAGTTCCAAAACTATTATATATATTTGTGGGTGATATATAAAAACAGTTTTCACAACCTGTGCCCTGGTGGGCTAATCCCATAAAAATAAATAAATTAATAAATTAATTCATAAATAAATAAAACAATTACTGGTACAGTACAACAATATCCTGGTCCCTTATAGCCTTGGATAATAAGGAGTAATACTCATATATAAAAAAATATGTGGTGAAGGAGTTGCTGGCTGGGAACACATCCCCCGTATTTACATTAATTCTCTTGGAGATAATTGCCCCAATACTTGCAGTTTCATTAATCGTAATGATTTTAGGAATGCATCTCTTGCGATAACTGGGGAATTCCTGCATTCCTGTAATTCCAAATGATGGGGACTCTATCCTTGCTGATGTAAAGCAAATTCCAAGTTATGATCATCTGCCGAAATCGACGAAGTCAATGCACTTCGTATGCAAGACAATGATAATGAAGCAGCTGATTACAATAATTGGAGTGAATAACAAGAATAAGTACTTGTAGCTTTTAGGTGGATTTCCATCCACCTCAAAATTAAAATAGCAGGTTTATGACCTTGTCACCATGTGAGAATACTTACCTGTGCTATGCACTTTCGATAACTAACTGTTTTTGTATTTCTGAACAAAGTTCATGAAAATTAATTAGAAGGTGTAGAAAGATACAGCCAGAGAAAAGTGCATATACAGTGGTGTAGTTGAGATCATTAGACCTAGACTGGTATCATCGTGCACTAAAAACAGGTTATGCTCTTTATGATTTACTTTATGTACTAACCTCTATTTCCTTCGCAGCTTCTAATAGTTCCTTCTGTTTTGTTACTTCCTGCATTTTTGTTAGTTCAAGAGCATCCTTAGCATACTCTGAAAAACACATCACCTTATATAAAAGTCAGTAACACTTAAAATACAATGATACTGCCTATTTTATACTAACTACCAATAAAGTGAATTAAATATCAGAGTAACTTTCAAAGGGAAATTGTCCACAATAATTGGATATTACTGTATTGAAGAAGTGTACCTGTATAAACATTATTTATCTTTTTTTTTCAGATGTACAGTTTATAATGAAATATTTACAGAAAGGTCTATTTTAAGATGGAAAATGTATCTTGTATATTCCTCAAAGCTTAAAATGTGTCCTGTATAATCCTCAATAATTAAAATGTATACTGTATATTCCTCAAAGTTTAAAATGTGTCCTGTATAATCCTCAATAATTAAAATGTGTCCTGCATAGTCCTCAAAGCTTAAAATGTGTCCTGTATAATCCTCAATAATTAAAATGTGTCCTGTATAATCCTCAATAATTAAAATGTGTCCTGTATAATTCTCATTGAGGACTGTTCGTCACCATGATGGTGATGAACAGTCTCTCTGGCAATGTCGCAGCACCCAACTTGACATTGTCGATGGCGCCGTGTTATATGGACTAAAAATGAAGTATTCATGATGCCTCGTGTTTCATACCAGCTGGATTTGGTAAAATGCTACTGACATCCACATAAGCAGCACGGGCAGTTCCCAAAGAGAGGTTCACGGCGCCATCAGCACGATGAACAGGCTTTGTGTGAAATATCACATAGTCTAGAAGTGCTTTTAGTGCTCTTGTGGTATGGTCGGTAACGCTCCCTGGTTCCCATGCATTAGGTCGAGGGTTCGAGTCCTGGCTGGTGAGGTCGTTGATTATATGTTCGAAGTCCGCATGTTATATGGACTAAAAATAAAGTATATACAGTCATGCGCGGTGTTAACGTCCAACCGAACAACGTCCGATCGCATATACGTCCGTGCCCCCCCCCCCACACCAAAAAAATCCATGACGCCTGCTAAACCACCACCCCACGACCCCCTGATGGAGATACGATGATCCTCCCCATACTGGTCAGATATTATGTGTTAAAGGAATATGCTTCCTTAGGCTTTTTTTAAGCATTTGCCTACAGGTGAAATGTTAACTTACATCTATTGAGGATAAAATCTTTCACCTACAAATTAACAATAACACATTTGCTGTAATCAGACATATCTAGTTGCCTCAATAATTGCAAGTTGCAATTGGGGTTGCAATTTCAAATTCTGTGTCATTACTAAAAATAGTAAAGTTTCTGGTGCACTCTAAGATTAAGAGAGAAAACGGAGGACTCAGGCGTCCTGATGTGACAGAAAATGGACTCGTATTACGGGGGACCAAATAAAAAAAGCATAGCTACATGTTTTGTGGACTACAGTATTAAGCGTACCCGTTTCATCACTTTGTAATAAACCTAGCCATGCCTATGTGTGTTTATGATATTTACCATAACATTATATATATATATATATATATTTTTATTGGGTCTAGATGGTCGTAAAATGGGAAACTTGGGTTGGGTCTTGGGTGCCTGAACCAATTAGAATAAATCCCCTAGGTTCTGTACTTTCGTTATCGGCTGGGTCCCAATTAGGCGCGATAACCAAGGGATGACTGTACTGTATATACTTATGACACTGGCCAGTTGCTTCTGGTGTTATGGTACAGGGGTACCAAGCGACAGCACTATGATCCCGCTTCCTCTATCAAGGAATAAACAATTAAAATTTAAATTGAAAAAAAAATATATATATATTGCACAGCAACAATGGACCTAAGTGCAAACCTGTATTGTACATGTACTAAATGATTATGGTACTAAAATTGTTATGTCTATTGCAAATATAGCTTGTTTATACAGGTATTCAAATAAATTATTATCTTACAAAAATCCCTCCAATGTAAGTTATATTCAACCAGGTCGTTTGGGTGGCAAATTATGAGAAGAGCTTAGTCACTCTTAAGTAATGATAAATAAACACGCAGGCAGGCCTTCAACGCCAACTGTCAAATCTTATTTCAAATAAATAAACAAACAAACGCCAGACATTCTGTCACCTCATCTCCCGCCTCCTCTTCCCACCCTGGTGATTTCTTTATGTTTATTTTATATAATATCTCAGACTTAAGTTAGGATAATATAATTTGCATTGCTGAAATCCTTGCAAGACAGAGATTAATTTGAATATAAGCGTCATATATTTTGCTCGATATAAAAATTGTATTACATTAGTGTACAATACCCAGCACCACGAGAACTCTCACTTTTACGCTTGCCAGCCATTTTAAATGGAATTACAAACAAAAATTTTGTCAGTACACAGCGCGATCACTAACGTCAGGACTCGAAAATACGTAATTTGAAAAATATTTTATACGACTGCGGCGGTCGTAAGTCGAGGAGTACCTGTAAACAGTTAATGCTTGGCGGGCCTTTTGTTTTCACGCATGTGAACAGGAAAAGGAAAAAAAACATTCTCGGATTTCTTACAGCATTTATGTGTCCCTATTCAACATGAGCAAGAGAGCAAGTGATGGTAGTGCTGGTTCAAAAGCTAAAAGAAAGTGCATAAGCGTAGCCGAGAAACTAGATGTGTTAAAACCACATGAAAAGGGTGAGAGATCTGTGGATATTATATGGAGCAAGCAATGAACATATTTTCTGAAGTGGATCCATTAAGAGAACAAAGCATTAAAATTAACAGGGACGTGAAAAATGCAAATGACTTCTACATAAAGATGTATAATGAGAAAAGAAAGCAGTTGTGCAAGGTTCTTTAGACAGCTTTATTATTTGAAAGCCTAAACCATCAACTTCAGCGACACCATCAAATTCAGCATCATAAGCAGCTTCAGCCAGAGTTCTGAGTAAAAATTCACACAATATTCATTGGCTGTCCTTATATTGTTTCATTTATTTTTTTTTTCTACGGGGATTAGCCCACCTGGGCACAGGTCACTGACCCAAATCGGGGCCTAGGGGGCGAAAATGTAATAATAATAATAATAATAATAATAATAATAATAATAATAATAATAATAATAATAAAGAACCATAAAGAAATACAAAAAAAAAATCAAGAGTGAGAAACAATACAGTATACTGTATGTATGTTGTGTTGTCAAGTAAGAGAAACAATTGAGACCCTGCAATTGTGTGTAAATGAGGCAGAAAGTCAGATCAGCAACCTGGGACTTGGTCACATATGGCAGCAGGGTCTACCATTAGACAACACATTATGCTTCCAGTATCTTCCCAGCAGTAGTACCTCCCTACAACCAGTCTTATTTTCTCCAGTTTCTTAAGTAGAACCAGCGACATTCGTCACAGGTATTGTAAACATTAACAAAAACAATACTGTACCGTCTTCTCTCTTGTGAGTTTTAATATTCTACGTATTATTAATGCATTGTTCATTTCGTATATACAGGTATAAATATTAATTCATATTAATTCAATCAACTACATACAGGGTATTCAGAAATAAACAATAATGAATCTTTTGTACATATTCTTAATAAGATAAATGACACTGTTTCCTTGAGGGCGCACGCATACACACACTGGCGTTCCGGTATCACTCTTTTTTTTCTTTAACATCAGTGGTTACTTTTACTGTACAACATTAATTAAAACATACATATTTGTTTTCATTAATTTTACTACAGCAACAGCCAGGGTCTTATTTTCTTCAGTTTCAGACGGATAACTGACATTACGGGTGTAAACACTGACCACAACAATGGCGTCCCATCTCCTCTTGGGTGACCTTATTATTATTGATTTATATTGTATAATGTGCATTCATAATCATTAAAGAATATAATTATCATTTTTCATCAATCTTATTGGTTGGGGGGAAAAGAGGGTAAAAAGCCACACAAAAGATATGATAAGGTCACATTAGGGAACACATCTCATTATTATTGCTTATTTTAATAGTAATTAATGGTTCACGATATGATGATTCACCTTACACTGCAATATTAGAGGACACATTACCGTCGTTATTTGAGGCTTTACTATACAGTACTGTATTTGTTTGTTATTGTTCGGTGGTTGGTTGATACTCTCCCAACATTCACTCAAAATCCAATTATAAAAGTATTTGAGCCCTTGAACAATGAATGCTAAATGTGCATTATGCACCACTAATGGTTGTGGTCACAGAAAGTGGAAAAGTGTTACATTAAAAGTTAAATTACATGTGGTAAAGAGATTTGAAGAAAGACAGTATGCTGTGGATATAGCAAGAGCTCCGACAACTGTACGTAAGAACAATTTGTGGAAATGCAGAAAATATCAAATCATGTGTTAAAAGTGTTACTCCATTATCTGGAACAAAGTTAACTCATAACAGAAGTGGCATTATGGAAAATATGGAAAGAATGCTGAACATGTGGGTCGAGGATCATCAACATCAACAAAACTTTCCGTGTTCGTTGCTCTCCATACAGGAAAAAGCTCTAAGTTTATATAAAACTTTAAAACAAATAGAAGGTGATAGGGCTGAAAGTGAAACATTTGTGGCAAGTTGAGAGAAAATTTTGACCTGAAATGTACCCAAGGAACATAACCCCTATTTATATCATTGCGTCTATGGTAAAACCATTTTCACTTAACGTTGTTTCACTTAAAGTCGTGGTTTTCAGGAACCTAACAAAGAAATTAATGGGGGAATTGGTGTACTGTATTATAGCATTATGAATGTGTGTTCTTGGTTCTGTTACCTTACAATATAATGGAAGAGATCTTGCAAAAGTAAGAAAAATAGTTTATTACACTAAAGACCACACAAACAAATTCCAAGCCTCTTACAACTTGCAAACATGGCTGTACATGAAATTCATGCATAAGCAAATATAAACAGATAGACAGCTTCAAAAATCTATTATTTTTAGCTTTTGCGTTGGATAGTCGAGATCAAAATAAATAAAATGTATTTGGTCAGTCCTTACTGGAAGATTCTAGATCCTTAGCAGCTTTGGCAGCACGTTCTAGAGCAGCTGAGTCAAAACGATAGGCTTCCATAGGACCATTCTTGCCCTTGCCACTATCAGAGTCTCCAGGTCCATCTGCACCCCCTCCACCCACAGCAGTCGGTGGAGGTACAAATTGTGAGAAGTCTTGCGGTCGCTGGTTCATACCAAATAGCCATGACATCTTTAATCTGGAATAAATATTTAAAGCTATAAGCAACATAAAAAAAGGAAAAATAACAAGGACTTACAAGACTATAAATTTCTCATCATTAACTCATTTTCTCTAAACTGAAGGACTGATCCTGAAGTCTTATTTGCCAATAGTCTTGTGATATAGACTGCTTAATAGGGCACCCTGTAACATTGGCTGTTTACTGGAGCACCACGTTATAACTTCCAATCTGGTTTAACCAAATAACCCTACCTCTCCACTACAATGTCAGCCTCTTCTAAGCAAGACTAGATTCACCAAGTGCCCTCTATGGGCTAGGATCTCATGTATGACCTGAGCCTGTTTGAGCCACATATTCAACACCAAGCCTGCAATGGTGGTTGTGTCCACCACAGACCACAGTAGAAACCAAGGCCCAGATTCACTAACTCTGCTGAGATAAGAAGTTCATAACTGCCAGATCTAAAGTCCATATGAATTACCGGAAGGGTGATTCACAAAAGGTTCATTTCGCTGTGATCCCCGTACAAACTCTGGCATTAGTTTGTATAATGCCCGCAAGTGGCACTGGTATGTTTGTTTTCATTTTCCTCTCGGCCAATGACTGCAACTGACACATAATTGAGTAGGTGTAAACCAATCATGTCACAACAACACTAGACCATGTAGGGTGTCCCTTTGACATTTATAATAGAAAATAGATCATGGTACCAGCCACTAAGAGATGCAGGGTGAATTTTTCTGAAGAAGAAATCCATGTACTACAGTACAGTACTCATAAGAGATGTGGCTAGTAGAGAAACATAATTTGAGGCAAAGTAGAGTCAACAATTTTGACAAAACAGGCAAAACAGATGTCCGGGAAGCTGTCACTGGTACCATTAAAGATGTGAGCCAAACTACCAGAGATAGACAGTGAAGAAGTTTTATGACCTTCGTTCACTTATGAAAACGTGTGCAGTACAGAATCAGGATATGGAAAAAAAAAGTGAGATTATGAATGTTTTTCTCATGGCCTTGTTATATTAGCCTACTTACAGCCCAATACAGTATGGTGGTATTGAGACAGACCATTTTGTTGGTACGTATATTGTTTAAAAGTAACAAATGGTCCATCCCATATATACGTACAGTACTGATAAAACTTTGATCAAATATATCTTTTGTTGTAGTGCACTAATAAATACAGGGGGTCCATTAACAGAACAAAGAATTAAAATTTAAATAAATGCATATGACCTCTACATAAAGATGTATAATAAGAAAACAAAGCAGCTGTGCAAGGTTCTTTCGACAGCTTTATTATTTGAAGGCTTAAACCATCAGCTTCAGCTACACCATCAAATGCAGCATCATAAGCAACTTCAACATCAACTTCAGGTTCAGTAACAGTTTCAGCAACAGCTTTATGGAAAGGTACAGCTTCAGCCAGAGTTGAACATACAGCTTCAGCCAGAGTTGAACCTACAGCTTCAGCCAGAGTTGAACCTACAGCTTCAGCCAGAGTTGAACCTACAGCTTCAGCCAGAGTTGAACCTACAGCTTCAGCCAGAGTTGAACCTGATGACTTTGTCATCTGAGTAAAAACTCGCACAATATTCATTGGCTGTCCTTATGTTTTAGACTTTACAACCATTGGCGAGTAGAATTTTTGCTTTACATTCGTAAATGTTATTTAAAACATGTATGAACAGTAAATAAGTGTTGCTTTCATATTCATATGTAGAGAAATGACGATATGTATTCATATATACACACTTACTTTTCATACATTGGTGTTCCCAATCGCCTCGCTTTATTTCTTTACCATTAGTGGTTAGCTACTTCTCGTGTTCCATTTATTAACGTTAAATAACATTACTTAAAACATACATACGGGTATTCATGTTTCTTAAATTAATCTCACTACAGCCACAACCAGGGTTTTATTTTCTTCAGTTTCTTATGTAGAACCATCACCACTCACGAAAAGAATGCCGTCTTGTGTTTTAATATTCTATTTACCTGTATTATTAATGAATTGTATTGTTCATTTTGCATATACAGTACAGTATAAAGATTAATTCAATCAAATACATATTAGTAATAAACAATAAAAATTTTTTGTACATATTCTTAAAAAAATAAATGGCGCGGTATCCTTAAATGCGCACATACAGTATACTGTATATTGGCGTTCCCAATCCATCTCTTTTTTTTCTTTGCCATTAGTGGTTAGCTACTTCTATTAAATAACGTTACTTAAAACATATACAGTATATTAATTTTTTTACATTAATTTTACTACAGCTACAACCAGGGTGTTATTTTCTTCATTTTCTCGTGGAGAACTATCGTCCCGGACTCCCGGCTGTAAACACAAACGAAAACAATGGCGTCCCATCTCCTCTTATGTGACCATATTATTATTCATTTCTATTGTATAAGGTGCATTCAGAAATATTATTTAAAGAACATAGTTTGCAGTTTTCATTAATTGTATTGTTTTGGGGGAAAGAAGGCAAAAAGCCACACAAAAGATATGAAAAGGTCACACTTGGGAATGCATCTCATTATTATTGCTTTATTTTAATGGTAATTAATAATTCGTGATATGATGATTCACCTTACACTGCAATATTGGAGGACACATTAACGTCGTTATGCGAGGCTTTACTGTATAGTGATTTAAGGGCGACTTAGGGATTTTTAGGAGTGTTTCTGACTTTATGCATTTTTTTGGCTTTACTTTGTATGTACTTTTTTGTGAGTTGGAACCAATTACCCAATATCCCAATGAAATAATAGATTCAGTTCACGAAATTTTTGGTTAATGAACGACTGTGGAACCAATTGTGTTCGTTAATCGAGGGACCACTGTACTGAGGACACACCTTGTCAGTGGAATTTACCCATCACGTGCTCTAATTACGTCACCTCACAGCTACGGAATTTTACAGGGAGTGCTCGTTATATAATACATATATATATTAGCCCCAATTTATATAATATTAATGTCCATGAGACAGGGGCTAATACATTAACAAGTGAAAATTTACCAATATACAGGGATGACTGAAACTATAATTTTGGTTATTATTAACGACTGACTCCCCGACGAGTTATTTGTTTTGGTATATTTTCTTCCTCTATATTCATCAGTGAGTATTAATATGATAGTCATTTCTAGTGCAAATGCTTCGTTTGGTAGATATTTAGGCGCTTAAAGTGCTCACTACTTTATCTTCTTGGTGGTAATGCGACAGTTTTAAGTTAAGGTTAGGTTGGGTTAGATAAAAAAAAATTGCACAAACTACGAGTGACCTCCATAAAAGGTTTTACGTTAAGGTTGGGTTGGGTTAAAAAAAAAAAGGCACAAACTACAACAGTGTCCTCTATAAAGCACAAGTGAAATTACAGCATTTTTATAATAGTTTTCTATGCTAAATGGCCAGTGGGTCAGTCGTCAATAATTTCCATAATTTTACCCAAATACAGTATTAACCTACTGTAGACTTTAGTGCATTATATACAAGGGGCCCTCTGAATGCGGGGGTCCTCTGAGAATGCTAGACCAGTGTCATCCCACTTGGATGATCATCTGCTTGATGCGATTTTATCAGTTTTAGTTACAGGATCAGGTAAATATTCGTCCATTAGTTGTCCACAGGTTTTGGTATGATAAGTTTTTTTTTTAATTCTTCAGTGTGTTTTACTCAAATATGACCTTCAATTCTTTTGCAATTTAGCGGCTTTTGCAAAAAATTTACATTTTAATTATTAACAAACTGTCAATTTGCAAAAAATTGGAGGTCAAATTTGAGTAAAACACCAAAAAATAAAAATAAATAAATAAAAAATTCTCATACCAAAGGAACCAACCAACCTACCTAACCTAACCTACAAGGAGGAGGAGGAGGTGAGGAGGAGGTAAGGAGGAGACAACTGACTCTTAAGTGAGGAGTATATCCTCAGGTAAACATGGTGGGGACCTGCAGACAGCCAATGGACGAATATTAACCCATTATCAGGTTAGGTTAGGTTAAATAGCATAAAACACGATCGTCCAAGTGGGAAGTAATCACAGTATTTTTATAGTAGTTCACACAACATTCCTACCCCAAATCTTTTATAAAAAATTTTTGAAATGAACAAACAATACTTTTAGATCTCATGGTGTTCTCCCGACCACAGTAAAGATTCTAATTCGGAATAAGGTAAGATATAACGGTGATTCCCTCATATGGTGAGTCTGGTTACATAAAAACACCGTGAGTTAGGTTAGGTTAGGTCAGGTCGTCCAAAAAATGAGTGAATTTGTAGTAATACACCGGTCATATATTACTAATTGTGGTAAACGATAAATGACCAAGGTCTGTATGTGATCATTTAGTAAGTTATAAACAGTGGAAAAATTGGTTGACATTAAAAACAGACATTATCAGTCAAGTTTCAAAATTAATTATAACTAATTAAAACTTTATTATAAAGAATTAAAACTCTCACGTTAATTGTTTGATGAAACAGAGGAAAAGTAGTATAGCAGAGTACAATGGTAGACAGGGGCCCAGTGTTGTGGTCCAGTAGCAGACGCTCTTGTACCGCACATGTGGTGGGGCAGGAGACAGTCGCCGCCCGCACTATAACCTCACCTTTCATACTGATTTGATTTGATTTCAATTCATGAACTAATATATATATATATATATATATATATATATATATATATATATATATATATATATATATATATATAACCACAAGGAAAAAAAACACGAAGTTCCCAAGCGCTTTCGTGTAATTCACATCTTCAGGGGTGAGTACAGACTAAAGGAGTACAAAACAAGGTGTATATATACAGAGGAGGGTGAGACCAGGTCCACAATGGTCAGGTATTAGGTAATGACCCTACTAATCTTTAAATAGCACACAACGGTTGGTGGTCAGGTCAGATGGTAAGGTGACCCAACCTTCTCACCTGGTTACAAATCATCTTAATTACAAAATTGTCCAGTTTATACATGCCATATATATATATATATATATATATATATATATATATATATATATATATATATATATATATATATATATATATATATATATATAAATATATATTACATTTAACATGGTTATAGCTCCAATAACTCGTTTATTTTCTTTAAATCTTACTCTTAAGTGTGTCAAACGTTAGATGGCGACACTGTTCGGAAGCTCCAACTCTTGTTCAATATTTTCAGGACGCCTGAGCTGTATGAGGCCACGTACACTCATTACTCAAGACGTCACAGGCTCTCACATAACACAGGCCTTCAGCTGGATGAGTCCTCTCTCCCTCAGTAACGAACAGTACACGATCGAGATAACGTGACGGAATGTCTCTGACAGTGGAACAAAGGCCTCTTCATGTACCTCCTCTGGAGGAGGTAGCAGTTGTGTTACAGGATGCACTGTGCATGAATTTTGATGAAGTAGTTGTGTCGGTCGTTGAGTGTCCTGATCTAAGGAACAAGCCATACTGTTTGAAAGGCAGAGGCTTATGTGGATCCCCCAGACTAGGCGACGTAGGTGGTGTACCGAATTTGATACCTGAAGTGAAAATGGACAAAGTGTATGACATCAAGAAATTGGCAGTATCTGTAGACTTGCCAAATGCATTCATAGTGGGAGCAGGAGCTGGCCCACATAACTTTGTTGGAGTCAATAGTGAGCTGATGGCAAACGTTAAGATGGGCGAAAACCCATCAAATGGATCCCTCATTTCAAAGATAGATGCTGCTGGAAATTACAAACTGATGGATTTACCAGATTCTGAAACTAGATGTGCTTTGATGTTGAACATGTTTGCGAGCGAAGGCCAAGCAGGCAAAGTTCTCAAGATATGGGCGAAGAAGCGTACTGGTGACACCAACTTTGTGACCTGCCTGCGACAAGCCCTGGAAAACCATTTCCGTGAGAAACCAGTGGGACTAGGAGGAACATTCCGTTTGGTAAAGGGTCACGCCAAATGTCACGTCATGCCGGACTTTCCCTCGGCACCCCTGACCTGTGATGAGGACGTCAACAAATGGTTATGTTTCTTCGATATGCCGGCGCCCATGGTGTTCCTGTCGACTTTAATCTCGAAAGATCCAGGGCTGGACCTTCGCGTTGAGCATTCTCACGGGTACGGTGACGACTGTGGTGGGCATTACCACTATGACACTACTCCAGACACAGTAGAGTACGAAGCCTTCTATAATGTGGCAGAGTTTATATACCGAGTGGACAGACCTAAAGTCACCCACGACTTTGGTAGAAACTAGATTTTGTTATTTTACTTTACAATTGTAAAATTGTAACTCCAGGAAATTTAGGTTATTTCCTTTCAAGGTTTTCTTTTCATCTTGTGCCCATCCCAGTTTCCTCATTCAGCTGCTGCATTGATTTGGTCGGCGCTGATTTGCATAAAGTCTCTTTTTGTGCTGTTAGGATTTATTGTCTACAGTACATATTTATTGTATAAGCATATTGACTTCAAATTCAGATTATTAAGTGAAGGGAATGATAGATTCACAAATGCATTTGTGCAGTTGGTGGTAAGAGTGCAATTCTTGTTTTCAATTTTGTTTTATATTGTACTATACTGTAAGAGAAATTATTTACCAATTAGTAAAATGCCCTGAATGAAATTACAGCAAATTCGTTCGTGTCTTATTTTCCAGTTATGATATGTTTATTGTTACATTTTAGTACAGCATTAAGCTAATTTTATGGAGTCGTGATTACTTAAATGGTAACATGCAAAATGTCAGCTAACCAGTGCCAGGAATTATGTGTGATGATCATGCTGATCAGAGTACACGTCTCTGCTGGCCATGTATAGTCACGGGTAGACAGTATACATGTAGCCAATAGTAAACAGATTGGACAACTTTGTCGTATTGGTATTTCTAGCATTATTAAATACTTAAAGACAGTCACAGTCATGGGCTCGTGGGCCATGGGTTCGAATCCTGGCGGGTTGAGGTGTTGATTGTATGTAGAAGTCCGCGTGCTTTGTTGGGCTAATGAAATATATATGGATCCTCGTGTTTCGAAGCCGGATTTGGTAAAACGTTACTCTGACCACCTACGTGATACGGGTAGTCCCCATTAGAGGTTCACGGCGCCATAAGCGCGTTGAACAGGCTTTGTGTGAAATATAACAAAGTCTAGGATCGCATTTAGTATCCTGGTGGTCCAGTGGTTAGCGTTCCCTGGTCACAGTCATGGGCTCGTAGCCCGTGGGTTCGAATCCTGGCGGGTTGAGGTATATATATATATATATATATATATATATATATATATATATATATATATATATATATATATATATATATATATATATATATATATATATATATATATGCAAGTAAATCACTGTAGTTGTGCGTGATCCAGGTATATGCTGATAACCACAAGGAAAGAAGAAAACACAAAGTTCCCAAGCGCTTTCGTGTAATTCACATCTTCAGGGGTGAGTGCAAACTAAGGAGAAATACAAAACAAGGTGTATATCTACAGAGGAGGGTGAGATCAGGTCCACAATGGTCAGGTATTAGGTAATGACCCTACTAATCTTTAAAAAGCACCGCAACGGTCGGTAGTCAGGTCAGAGGGTAAGGTGACCCAACCTTCTCACCTGGTTACAAATCATCTTAATTACAAAATTGTCCAGGTCGGATACTTTGAAAGAGGTTTTTCTTAAGGGCTTAAGGGATCAAGGGTTGCAGAGTGGCTTACGTTGGTATTTGTGTGGCCGGCCTGGAATGTCTTATGAGGAATTGGTACAGGTAGCTGCAGAAGAGTCAAAGAAGACGACAAAGCAGACAATTAAGGAAAAGAACCCATCTAAGGGTGTGGTTACAGCTATAAACGAATGTTCGCCCATGGTTAAGGAGGTGAGAAAAACACTAAACCCCCATGGAAGTGTACCTCAAGAGAGAGGGGTGGTGAAGATGCTTGCTGAATTACGAGTAGATATTCAGGCAGTGAAGACAGACCTAGTCCAAATTAAGGGGCCACCGGAAGTTAAACATTTTAACAAGGGAAGGCCACTTCCGTTCCAGGGAGAGTGCTATATATGTGGACAGTGGGGGCACAGGGCGGCCACCTGTTGGCACCGGAACCAAGGTCGAGGGAGAGGAGGTCCACCAAGGTGGGCCTCTCAGCAGCCAAAAAATGGAGTCAAGACCACGGGAGTGTCGGAATTGCTAGAGAGGAGGGAAATGGCCAACCCTTGCTGTGGGAAGCCCACCGGTAGGGGTAGAACAAGTGGGCTGGTCACACAGAGAGTAGCGTAAGGACAGGCTGGTGGGGAAAACCCCTGTCACTGTAGTTAAGATCGGAGGAGTCTTGGTTACATCTCATCTGGATTCTGGTAGTGAGGTGTCTCTTGTCTCAGAGACAGTTTATCGTAGATATTTTGAATCTAGGGGAGTTGGATTACATTCCCCAGAGGGTCTCGTGTTGAAAGCCGCTAATGGTGGGTCAATACCATACCTGGGCTACATGTTGGTGGATGTTGAGATTCTTGAATATAAAATAGAGCAGGTCGGGGTTCTAGTGAGGAAGGGGGAGCAGAGCTCTGCTAGTCAGGCCCCTGGGTTGATAGGGATGAATGTACTTAGACAATGTCGCGAAGTTCTAGTGAAGGATTTTGGTCCCCAATATGTTGACTGTAGTATTATAAAGGGAAACAGATTTTTTTCTAAGTGCTTCCAAGAGATTGAGAGCATCCATCGATGGCAGCAGAAAGACCACGTGGGGTTTGCCTCCTCTACTCGGTGGAAACCAACAAGAATCCCTGCAAACTGCCGCCAGGCAGTCAGTATTTACATCCGAAGCTTACGGAGATGTCCCAAACTTGAAGTCTTGATTGAGCCAATGCAGGTGGGGGAAGGGTGGCTCCCTCCCAACCTCCTTCATATACTACCATTAGGTACGGTAAGGGGGTTGCCACTGTGGCCAATGTGGGTAATTCTTGCATGTGGCTAAAGCGAAACTGGCATGTAGGAGTGGCTCGTGGGGCCGATTTGTGTCCTCAACAAGAAACAGCAGAGGTGAGCTCAAACAGTGTTGAATGGGGGACAGAATGCCCAGCTGATGGGCAGATGCCAGAAAATCTAAGGCAAATAGGGCTGAAGATTGACCTAAAACAAATACCCAGTAGCACACAAGAGAGACTTTGGAGTGTGTTGCGGAAGTACCGCGATGTTTTTCTGGACAGCAAGGGAAAGTTAGGAAGCACTGGGATAATCAAGCATACCATCCCTCTCGTAGATGAGACTCCCATTAGGCAGCCTTTCAGACAGGTTCCTCCCACTCAAATCCAAATGGTTAGGGACCATATCAACCAGCTGTTAGAGCAGGGGGTCATACAGAAAAGCACTAGTCCATATGCAGCCCCAATTGTTCTGGTGAAGAAACGAGATATGTCGCTGCGTTTGTGTGTCGACTATTGGAAACTGAACAAAGCCACTCGTAAGGATGCTTTTCCACTCCCAAGAATTGATGAGTCTCTTGATGCATTGGCAGGAGCAAAGTGGTTTTCAACATTCGATCTAGCCTCAGGATATTATCAGATAGAGATGGATGACAAGGACATCCAAAAGACTGCTTTCTGTACACCATTCGAGCTGTTTGAGCATAAACGCATGCCAATGGGATTATGTAATGCTCCCGGAACATTTCAGCGAGTCACGGAGAGCATCTTTGGCAGCGAGATATTTTCAAACTTGTTGGTGTACCTAGATGACCTCATGATATTCTCAAAGACACTTGATGAGCACATAGAAAGGCTGGAAATGGTGCTCTCTAGGCTAAAGGGACATAACTTGAAACTGAAACCATCCAAATGCAATCTGTTTCAGAGGAAGGTTGCCTATCTTGGATATGTAGTGTCACAGAAGGGAATTGAGACAGACCCTGGTAAGATTGAGGCAGTTAAGCAGTGGCAGGTTCCCACCACCATTAGGGAGCTACGTTCCTTCCTTGGGTTAGCCTCTTTTTACCGACGGTTTGTGCCTGGATTTTCAAAATTAGCTACCCCATTAACTGCCATAACTTCAGGTGCCACCGCCCCAAACCAGTCCATCTGCTCGAGGTGGGCCCAGGTCCATGATGATGCATTCAACCAACTAAATGGCAAGTTAGTCATGGCACCCATTTTGATTTGTGCTGATTTTAGCAAGCCATTTTTCCAAGAGATCGATGCCTGTTTTCAGGGGCTAGGAGCTGTCTTGTCACAAGAGGTAGAAGGCAGAAAATACCCTATTGCCTATGCCAGTAGGGGCTTGAAGGGGTCGGAGAGAAATATGAAGAATTACAGTAGCATGAAGTTAGAGCTGCTAGCTTTGAAGTGGGCCATCACGGAGAAATTCAAAGACTATCTGGCAGGCAGCAAGTTTACTGTACTCACTGACAACAATCCTTTGACTTACTTGGACAAGGCAAAGCTTGGGGCAGTAGAACAGAGATGGGTGGCTGATTTAGCCCGGTTTGATTATCATCTGGAATATCGGGCAGGGAAAGCCAATGGGAATGCAGATGGATTATCCAGAAAGAGCCAAGAGCCAGAACCTGAGGCAGATGACTCCTCCGAGAGGGTTCAAGCTATGGCCATAGATGCTTTCGGGGAGGAGAGTTCCCTTAGTGGTGAGGAGAATGAGACCCCATGCCCAGCTGAGGAAGGAGCAGATAGCCCTCAGGTGACTGGACAGTTAATGTGGCTTCCCAGAATATCTCAGGAAGGTTTGGAGCAATTGCAGGAGCAGGGCAGTAACATTTCATCATGCTGAAAGGGCCTAGAAAGGCACCTAGGAGAAAGTGAATTACAGCAGCTGAGAAAGGGCCAGGATTTTAACAGCCTATGGAAACAGAGAGGGAGATTGCTCATTTGTAACAGATTGCTGTTTAGGAAATGGGAAAGGCCAGGCCAGAAGGAGCTAAAACAACTACACTGTAGTTTTGCCTACTACCTTGAAGGGGGATGGATTCCAGCAACGCCGAGCAGATGGGGGAGAGGGTGGGAGCGAGCGAGGGGGCGTGGGGGGAGGGGAGGTAGTACGTTTGACAGTTGGCACAGGCCCAGGTCTAACGCGTGTATATTTATCAGTTCTTAGGTGACTAAGTTTCTCTCTTATAAAAAGCCAGTGAAATGACGGGTGAATATAATTAACATAGCTGGGATTCTTGTAACATACTGATTAATTTGAATATAAACATGCTATAATTTGCACTAGACAAAACAATTTTAGTACCGTAATCAAATTAGTACATGTGCACTCCAGCTTTGCACTAAGGTCATTTATTTCTATTACGTTTCTTTTAGTATGGTGTGTGCATGTAAATGGATGAAAATAAATGAAGAAATCTATGTAAATCTACCCAAAAATACAGTTGAAAAACTTTTTTATAAAATGTACTACAGTACTGTACACTAATGTACAACAATTTTTATCTCTTGAGCAAAATATATGACGTTTATATTCAAATTATTGGCTGTCTTGCAAGGATTCCAGCAATGCAAATTATAATCTCCTAACTTTAGTCTGAGATATTATATAAGATAAAAACTGTAAGCCTAAAAGCCTGGCTGGGGACTGACGGCTCCGCCACCCAGCGAGGGGTTGTGGGGGGGGAGGGGGTTGAGGTGATAAGA